ACTGGCAGACCTCCAGAGCACACACTGGGACTCACTCTGCCTCTGAAGCACAGCTATGAGTCACTCTGATCGGGCACAAAGACCCCCTACAGGCCCCTCTAACCCCCAAACCTCCATACTTCTACCCACCTCTTGCTCAGCTTGAAAGAATTGTGATCAGCCTCAGAGACCCCTTACCAGCCACTAACCACACCCCACCTCCATTTCCCCAACTACCATCACTCTACCTCCAGCTCACCCACCCTAGCTCCAGCCCAGCCCAGATGTTGTGTATGTGGGCATGGATCCCTGACATGGAGGATGCATGCACTCAAAGACATGGCCTCTATTGGTTGGTATAACTATAGCTAGGCTACTCATGATGATGTATTGCTTGTTTGTTTTTTGCTTTTGAAGCACTATTAGATTATGAAAATTGCTATAGAAATGTAATAAATTATTATTATTATGTGCTTGGGAGACTGGCAGCTGGGACCAACTGCCTTCCTCCTCTCTCTGTCACTCTCTCACCATCCGTCGCTCTTTCCCTGCCCATCCCTCTCTATTCCTTCTTCCTCTCCCATGCTGGTACTGTAAGAGTGGTGGTGGTGTGTTGGCTGTGTAGGGACGACACCCTGTGTCAAGGAGTGGTGCTGAGAGGACAGCTGTCACCTATGTGTGCCAGAACACCACAACACACTCAGAGACCATCAAAACCCAGTGCCAGAACACCCCCTATGTAGACCGATAGACAGACAGAGAAAGAGAGACAGAGTGAGTGACAGGAGAGAGAGCGACACCAACAGACAGAGAGCGCGAGAGACAGCACGAGAGAGAGAGACAGAAGGAGAGAGACACAGAGAGGGAGAGAGACAGACAGAGAGAGAAAGAGAGAGCGCGAGAGAGACAGGAGAGAGAAAAAGAGAGACAGAGAGACGCTATGTGCCAACTGCCCACAAAATGAGGTGGAACCCGAGATGCACTTCCTTACCTTTGGCCAACTGTATGACCATAGAGACAGATATTTGATTTGAAAACAAATCCAAACTTGATAAACTCCCATATCCATTAGGTGAAATACCACAGTGTGCCACCACAGCAGAAATATTTGTGACCTGTTGCCACAAGGGCAACCAGTGGAGCACAAACACCATTATAAATACAACCTATATTTATCTGTTTATTTATTTTCTCTTTCATACTTCAACTATTTTGCACGTTGTTACAACACTGTACATAGCCAATAATATAACATTTGCAATGTCTATACTCTTTTACAACTTTTGTGAACGTAATGTTTACTGTTCATTTTTTACTGTTTATTTCCCTTATTTCTATTTTGTTTCTTGTCTATTTCACTTGCTTTGGCAATGTAAACATGTTTCCCACGCCAATAAAGCCCTTTGAATTGAGAGAGAGGCAGGAGGGAGAGAGAGCGAGAGAGAGGCAGGAGGGAGAGAGGCAGGAGGGAGAGAGGCAGGAGGGGGAGAGAGCGAGAGAGTCAGGAGGGAGAGAGAGCGAGAGAGGCAGGAGACAGAGAGAGAGAGCGAGAGAGCGAGAGACACAGAGAGAGAGAGCGAGAGACACAGAGAGAGAGAGACACAGAGAGAAAGAGAGAGAGTCACAGAGAGAGACAGCGAGAGACACAGAGAGAGACAGCGAGAGACACAGAGAGAAACAGCGAGAGACACAGAGAGAGAGACACACACAGAGAGAGAGAGACACACAGAGAGAGAGAGACACAGAGAGAGAGAGACAGAGAGACACAGAGAGAGAGACAGAGAGACACAGAGAGAGAGAGACAGACACAGAGAGAGAGAGAGACAGACACAGAGAGAGAGAGAGACAGACACAGAGAGAGAGAGACACAGACACAGAGAGAGAGAGACAGACACAGAGAGAGAGAGAGACAGACACAGAGAGAGAGAGAGACAGACACAGAGAGAGAGAGAGAGAGACACAGAGAGAGAGAGGACAGACACAGAGAGAGAGAGAGAGAGAGACAGACACAGAGAGACAGACACAGAGAGAGAGAGACAGAGAGAGAGACAGAGAGAGAGAGAGCGAGAGACACAGAGAAAGCGAGAGAAAATTGGAACGCTATCTAGCCCTAAACAGAGTACACAGTGGCAGAATAACTGACCACTGTGACTGACCCAAAATTAAGAAAATCCTTGACTATGTACAGACTCAGTGAGCATAGCCTTGCTATTGAGAGAGGCCGCCGTAGGCAGACCTGGCTCTCGAGAGAAGACAGGCTATGTGCCCACTGCCCACAAAATGAGGTGGGAACTGAGCTGCACTTCCTTACCTCCTGCCAAAGCTATGACCATATTAGAGAAACATATTTCCCACAGAATAAATTTGAAAACAAATCAAACATTGATAAACTCCCATATCTGTTACGCAAAATACCGCAGTGTGCAATCACAGCAGCAAGGTTTGTGGCCTGTTGCCATGAGAAATGGGCAACCAGTTGAGCACAAACATTGTACAGTGGGGGAAAAAAGTATTTAGTCAGCCACCAATTGTGCAAGATCTCCCACTTAAAAAGATGAGAGAGGCCTGTAATTTTCATCATATGTACACGTCAACTATGACAGACAAATTGAGAAAAAAAATCCAGAAAATCACATTGTAGGATTTTTTATGAATTTATTTGCAAATTATGGTGGAAAATAAGTATTTGGTCACCTACAAACAAGCAAGATTTCTGGCTCTCACAGACCTGTAACTTCTTCTTTAAGAGGCTCCTCTGTCCTCCACTCGTTACCTGTATGAATGGCACCTGTTTGAACTTGTTATCAGTATAAAAGACACCTGTCCACAACATCAAACAGTCACACTCCAAACTCCACTATGGCCAAGACCAAACAGCTGTCAAAGGACACCAGAAACAAAATTGTAAACATGCACCAGGCTGGGAAGACTGAATCTGCAATAGGTAAGCAGCTTGGTTTGAAGAAATCAACTGTGGGAGCAATTATTAGGATATGGAAGACATACAAGACCACTGATAATCTCCCTCGATCTGGGGCTCCACGCAAGATCTCACCCCGTGGGGTCAAAATGATCACAAGAACGGTGAGCAAATATCCCAGAACCACACGGGGGGACCTAGTGAATGACCTGCAGAGAGCTGGGACCAAAGTAACAAAGCCTACCATCAGTAACACACTACGCCGCTAGGGACTCAAATCCTGCTGTGCAAGACATTTCCCCCTGCTTAAGCCAGTACATGTCCAGGCCCGTCTGAAGTTTGCTAGAGTGCATTTGGATGATCCAGAAGATCATTGGGAGAATGTCATATGGTCAGATGAAACCAAAATATAAATTTTTGGTAAAAACTCAACTCATCGTGTTTGGAGGACAAATAATGCTGAGTTGCATCCAAAGAACACCATACCTACTGTGAAGCATGGGGGTGGAAACATCATGCTTTGGGGCTGTTTTTCTGCAAAGGGACCAGGACGACTGATCCGTGTAAAGGAAAGAATGAATGGGGCCATGTATCGTGAGATTTTGAGTGAAAACCTCCTTCCATCAGCAAGGGCATTGAAGATGAAACGTGGCTGGGTCTTTCAGCATGACAATGATCCCAAACACACCGCCCGGGCAACGAAGGAGTGGCTTCGTAAGAAGCATTTCAAGGTCCTGGAGTGGCCTAGCTAGTCTCCAGATCTCAACCCCATAGAAAATCTTTGGAGGGAGTTGAAAGTCCGTGTTGCCCAGCGACAGCCCCAAAACATCACTACTCTAGAGGAGATCTGCATGGAGGAATGGGCCAAAATAGCAGCAACAGTGTGTGAAAACCTTGTGAAGACTTACAGAAAACGTTTGACCTGTGTCATTGCCAACAAAGGGTATATAACAAAGTATTGAGAAACTTTTGTTATTGACCAAATACTTATTTTCCACCATAATTTGCAAATAAATTCATAAAAAATCCTACAATGTGATTTTCTGGATTTTTTTTCCTCATTTTGTCTGTCATAGTTGACGTGTACCTATGATGAAAATTACAGGCCTCTCTCATCTTTTTAAGTGGGAGAACATGCACAATTGGTGGCTGACTAAATACTTTTTTTCCCCACTGTAAATACCACCAATATGTATCTGTTTATGTATCTTCCCCTACTATTCGTACTACAACTATTTGCACACTGCTAAAACACTGTACATAGCTGATAATATAACATGACCGGTCTTTCCCATTTTAAGTGCAATGTTTACTGTTAATAGCTTTTTGTTGATGTTTTGTGACTTCCCACCTGTTTATTTCACTTGCTTTGGCAAGGCAAACACGTTTCCCATGCGAATAAAGCCCCATTGAATTGAATGAGAAAAAGAGAGCGAGAGAGAGAACAAGAGAGACTAAGTATCTATTTCCAAGCTCAAACCCTCCACTCCTCTACCTCAGCAAACCTGCATAATAAAGTCCAGAAGAAGGCTGGGGTTTTGTTTTCTGCTACAGTTCTCTTTGTTTTATAATGGAGCCACACAGCGGACCCCCTGCCCAGAGTGTGTGTTGGTTTTACTATCCTTGTGGGGACCAGAACAGCCAGATGTCATTCTGTTGTTTGACCAGCTACAACAGTGGTTCCCAAACTGTGGGGTGCGCCGAAGGGTTGACAGGGGGGCACGGGCATTCAATTTACTCTTGATAGTTAATTCAATGATGGATGGGATGGGATGGAAGGGGAAGGGGAAGGGGAAGGGGAAGCCCCCCCCACCCCCAAGTGAAAACATTTGGGAACCATTGAGCTAGAAGACCACTCTTTACTCTCTGTCTCATTTCGTTCTTTCTTTATTCCTCTTCTAACCCCCGATGAGTGGACTAACTCAGAGCTGGTACTCTGCATAGTGGGAGAAGGGATTGATAGATGTAGGGAGAGAGAGACAGAGAGGGAGAAGAGACAAAGGGAGAGCTGGGAAGAGGAGAGAGATAACAAGAGAAGGGAGAGGTGGAGTGAGAGGAAATATGATGAAGGGACGTGTGTGTGTGTGCGTGTTTAGCCTACCTCCTGTGGTAGCTGTGTGTAGCACGTCTCTGTGGTGGCGAGGATGAGGAGGGGGGAGAAAGAGGGGACGTCCTGGAGCAGAGAGAAGAAGGTGTTCTTCACCGTGTCGCTGACCGAATCCCACCAATCACAGATGTGGGGCATGAACACCACACTGGGCACGCTCCGACGCGCCTCACGGAACACCTGGAACACACACAGCCAGACATCATACATTTGCAATGAGTATATCTGGCCTAAAACAGATGCAATGATATACGTGTGTGTGTGTGTACAGGCGTGCGTGTTACCTGAGCGCAGGACTCCTCGGGTGTCTTGGCGCTGACAGAGTAGAGTGTGGGCAGGTCTAGGAGGTGGACAGACAGCTTGTCCAGGTGGTGTAGCACAGCAGGGGCCAGGTGAGAACTCTGTCCCGAGCCGGGGGGACCTGCCAGCAGCAGTCGAGGCCGGTATGACGTGGGCTGGTGAAGGGCTGATCTGGAAGGAGATGAGAAGGAGAATCAGCTTCTATCTTTTAAATGTGTCCTTACGTCACCAATTAGGTTATCAGTCTCCAGTTGATTGCTGTTTGATAAAACTGTTAGAGGACGATAATCTCCATAATCATATTTTATCATCTTTAGTGTTGTCACGATACCATAATTTTGACTTTGATACCAAAACAATGCACCAGTAACAAAAACAAAATTGTATTAGACAAAGTCACAGAATGGCACTTGATCCAGACAGATTTACATTTAAGGAATTTAGCAGACGCTCTTATCCCGAGCGACTTATAGTAATTACATTTACCGTACTTTTTCGTACTGGTCCCCCGTGGGAAACAAACCCACAAACCTGGGTCGCAAGTGCCATGCTCTACCAACTGAGCCACACGGGACAGATAAACTCAGCTACTGCTCTGTTCAATCGTTGGGCATCCTATGAGTTCAACATAATTACATTTGAAAATGTTTGACGTCAACATTTTTCAGAGACAGTAATGTATATGCATTAATTAATTAATTATATAATCATACAATCAATTTGACTTTGTTTTGACCAATCTAACTACATAACGGTAATCCTTGTTTGAATGGTGAATCTCTATTGATAAACTAGGTTAATCAAGATGTAGCCTTAGCCTATTCACAATACAGGTGAATGCATATTCAATAGGAGTGTGTGCATGCATTGAGTTATTGAGCTTGTTTTGGCTGATTTCATGGGGCAACAGGTGACAATCTGTTTCCCTCCAATTTGGGACTTATTTAATTGTACTGATCAACAACATATGCATATAAGTAGCAATTTCTTGTTTTATAAAAGTGTGCAGTCTCTTTAAGACCCAGTAATGATTTCATTCACGAGGCACATGCTGTGTGTGTCAGTTTGGTGAGAAAAATCCAACTGCTGAGAGAAATTCATAATGTTTTTGGTAACATTCAGCTTTGAAAACAGCATATTTTGCGCTATGGTTAGCATATTATCACAAAGTACTAGGGTAGTGAATTGTTGTTAGCTTCAGCTGTAAGCTAGCAAGGAACGTTAGCCTACAAAGCTGGAAGCTACCGGTATCTTCTTGCATTGTAAGGTGTTCTAGCCTGTAGTATGAACAGTAATTAACAGTTCCAACATGCCGTGTTGCATTATTCAAGTGTGTCAACATCTGTGCAGCAGGAATGGGGAGCTAACATGATGCAGCCAGGACAGTCTAGAGCAGGGATGGGCAACTTTGATGGGGGTGGGGGCCACAAGAAATCTGAACTCATCATGAGGGGCCACAGTTGCTCGCAGGTCTGCGTACCCAGTCAGAGTTAATTTCGTGCAATTCTACATATTTTGGCATGAGGCGGAGGAAAATGTGCTGTTTCACAGCTAATTTGTTGCAATTCTACACATTTTGCTATAGGGTGGGGAGAAATGTTTGCAGTTTTTTTAATATGATATCTGAGTTGGACTGACTAACAAAATGTACGGGGGCCCCCGACCGGAAATTCGACCATGATTACTACAAGTTTAGATAGCTGGCCGCAAGACTAATTGACCAATCTAAACATTTTAGCTGACATGGGCTAATTGAGTGACTATCAGTGACTGACATAACAAGAGAAAAACTGCTGATCAACAACCACATTTTGAAGTAAGTGGAGCAAGCAATATGCATGCACGGTGAGCTCCTGCTATTAAGAAGACACCAGCTGCGCTGATAGACCCATGGGGCGGCGCACAATTGGCCCAGCGTCGCACAATTGGCCCAGCGTCGTCCAGGGTAGGGGAGGGAATGGCCGGCAGGGATGTTGGTAGAGCAGGGTTGTGGGTTTGTTTCCCACGGGGGGCCAGTATGAAAAAAATAAAATAATGTATGCACTCACTAACTGTAAGTCGCTCTGGATAAGAGCGTCTGCTAAATGACTAAAATGTAAATGTAAAATGATAGAGACTTTATCCTCTCAATCAGTATTCGACGTGAGACACATTTGACAGAAGTACCGAAAGTAACAAAGATTCTAGTACTGAACCGTTTTCCATGTTCTAATATTGATAAAGTACCAAAGCTTTACACTAATCATCTTTGACCATATTAGCAGTCTATATCAGATAAAGTGCCTCTTAGATCGACTTGAGTCAAATAGAGAACATTTCCTTTCCCTGTCCTGTATTGATGACAGGTCTGAATGATGGTTTGACACCTGTCATTCTTCTTGTGGCCACAAGGCAGCATTAAAACACCATGATACAGTGGGGTGTGTGTGTCGGGGTAGAGGCTAGCTGTGTGTTCTGTAGTCAGACTCACATGCTGAAGTGTAGGAAGGGTGTGTGTGCCGTAGAGGAGGGGTGTGTGTGTGTCTTTGGGGATCCTGGCTGGAGGTTGTAGATGGAGGGAGCTGCTCCAGCCGTCTCCTCTTCACTGACCTCCTCCTCTAGCAGATTATCGTCAACGTCTAGCAGGAAGAAAGGACAGGAGGAAATACTGTGAGTCAGACAAACGGTGTGTGTGTGTGTGTGTGTGTAATAAAATGACGTTGAGACATACAAAAATAGGTAGGTAATAAATCAAAATACATATAGGCCTAGGCATGGCCTAATTAACAGGCCTTTGAGCATAAATTGCTCCAGCAAGAAAAAAGGCTAGAGAAAGCTCTGGTCTTATTAGCAGAGACGTCATGGTTTATTAGAGAGATAGGGAGGAAGTTGTAGTGCTAAATGGAAGTAATTAACAGGGTTCTAGACTAACTTTTTCCCACTGGTGCTACCAACTTTTTCAGTTGATGGCACCAATGTTTTGCCACTACACACTGATAATGACCTGACCTGTGTCCCATAATATTTACATTTTACATTCACATTTTAGTCATTTAGCAGACGCTCTTATCCAGAGCGATTTACAGTTAGTGAGTACATACATTTTCATACTGGCCCCCCGTGGAAATCGAACCCACAACCCTGCCGTTGCAAACGCCATGCTCTACCAACTGAGCTACACGGGACCTATACCTGCATTCCATAGAGAACCAGGCTAATAATGACTAGCCATCTTAAATTAGCATGCCATTGCAGGGCTTGACATTCAGGTAAATTTGCCAATGGCACACCAGGCCAGTGCCAACTGAAAGCTACTGGCCTGAATGAAAAGATGACTGGCCCAGGAAAGAGAATGATGCACGCATAATTTAAATGTCATCTTTAATTTGCGGACTGCGCAAGATGCGTATAGCCCAGGGGTCCCCAATTACATTATCTGTGGGACGATTTTTCCTTGAGCAAATGGTCGGAACATAGTTTGTAAACTGCAAATTGACCGCAATAATCCCAAATCTTTTCAACCCTTGATTAGCCTACATTGGGATGCGATTACATATGCCTCTATTTATGCATGGGAATACTTGGGAATAGATTTCCAAAACTAAAATCAGCTGATTTCCTGGTGATTTTGCAGTCTTATGTCCAACAATGAAAACTATTAAAAAAATTATCCCTTGGTTATTGTTGTCCCGTTGACAATATTGATTATTATCATTTTAATAGTGTAAATATCCAAAGTAAGCTTTGGCAATATGTACATTGTTACGTCATGCCAATAAAGCAAAGCGAATTGAGAGAGAGAGCGAGAGCGAGAGAGCGAGAGAGAGAGAGAGAGAGAGAGAGAGAGAGAGAGAGAGAGAGAGAGAGAGAGAGAGAGAGAGAGAGAGAGAGAGAGAGAGAGAGAGAGAGAGGAGAGCGAGAGAGCGAGAGAGCGAGAGAGCGAGAGAGAGAGAGAGAGAGAGAGAGAGAGAGAGCGAGAGAGCGAGAGAGCGAGAGAGAGAGAGAGAGATACAATGGGTGTTGGCCAGTATTTATTTATTTTTGCTCTGAAAACTTCAGGTCAAATAAAATCACCCACAGGCCCAATTTGGCCCATGGGATGCCTATTGGGAACCCTGCTATAGCCGATAATGACCAACCCTCCATACATAAATAATTACATTATTTCCATTAATTGCCACAATCTCAAAATGAGTGTCATTGTTAGCGATTAGGAACAGTAAGTCTACAGTTGTAGGGCCCTATAAATCTGTTCCATCTTCTGGTACATTATGTCTTCCTCATTTTGTTTCTCCCTATATCTGGTTGTCACTCAAAAATCACACTTTCCTTACAGAAAAACTACACAAATGGGATGTTCTAAGTCCACAACAATGCTTCAACCACATCAGGAGCCCACTTTTGAGGTCTGGGAAGAATAAATAAAAATATGTGGCGGGTGTAGTTGCCCTTTAATTCAATTGCACACCTAGCAAGAGACCGTTGTGTTTGGCTAGCGGTGTTTTTGTACTGTACAATGTACAGTGTAGGCTACATGTGATGGCAGAGTTTGCTAAACAAATGCTCCGTGATTGATAGGTTGGCAGGTAGCCTGGTGGGTAGGAGCGTTGGGCCGAAAGGTTGCTTTATCGAATCCCCGAGCTGACAAGGTAAAAATCAGTCGTTCTGCCCCTGAGCGAGGCAGTTAACCCACAGCCCCCCGCACATCGCTGATGCGGAAAACACATTTGAATGCATTCAGTTGTGCAACTGACTAGGTATCCCCCTTTCCCTTGATACAAATCATCATGATATCATTCTGCCAGGTAGGCCTACATCGAAGTCAACAATTAATTTGGAAGTTTTTTTGTAAAATGTTCATTCAAACAGCGCATGATGACTGAATTGCGCGTAGCAAAGTTTCTGCCAATACTTTTTGAATACCTGGTTTGCATACCCATCGCTGTTAGAATAAATCTTATTTTATTTTTACTATTTGTGACCCTAGCGACCAGGAAAAAGAGAGAGGTGCAAAAAGAGAAAGATAAACAGAGTACCTCCTCTACTCTGTGTTTCTGCGTGGGGGAAGACTCGGAGCAGGACCTCCAGCACCGTGGCCAGTGTGTTTGCCAGTAGGGGGCGCATGTTGGGGGCCAGGGCTCGGCCTGGAGGAGCCTGGGCTCTCTGGGAGGCTGGGACGATGGTCCGCAGAGCGTGGCTGAAGTCCCCAGGCCCCAGCACGATGGTACTGTTAGACACAGGTAAGATTGATCAATACTTGATCCAAAACTGAAATTTAGTGTCCACAGATTATAGAAATGTAATTGTTTAAATTTTCACTTAGTCATGCTTTGATGCCAATGGGAGAGATTACATTAATTGTAACTTAAATGGAAGTTAGGATTCACCCCATACAGACAAGACAATTGATTCCAGTCTATTACTATGGTCTTGTATCCGTTCAGTTTCCTTCTCCTCTGCATGGTTACCTGACGTCCAGCTGCAGCTTCACACTGCTGCCGTAGATCTGGGGATAGCGCCGCCGCAGTGCCACCAGGGCCGCCTCTGTGCAAAGTGCTTTGATGTCTGCGCCACAGTAACCTGGAACAGGGGAGTGGAGAGGTTAAATGAATGAACTGAAAAAGAAGTAGACTACACATAAATGTTCTAGTTGTAAAATGTTAATAAATGTGAGTAAATATAAGTTTGTCTCCCTTACCGACACATTTCTCCGCCAGCTCATCTACAAACTGTTCAGCCAGTCTGGGATTCCAGTCCCGCGTGTGGATCTCAAGGATTTGTCTTCGGGCCTAGGGACAGAGATAATAAGACAAAGAGAAAGAGAGACAGACAGACACCGACAGACAAAGAGCGAGAGAAAAATATGTTTAGAAAAAACTGTCACTATCGACCCTGCTCACACCACAGTGGGTTTCTGATCAGCAAGGTTTCTCTCTGCTGAGCACTGCCAGCTGTGTGTCTTTATATTTGTGTGTCTCTGCTGAGGTCGGCTGACAGAAGCATACAGACTGGGCTTTGATTATCCAGAATCTCACTGTGAGGACAAACGACAGGAGTCAGCCAATTAGACAGCTCGACGGGTAGAGGGGATTGCTATGTACCACTGGGCTGGGACTAGCGCACAGTCTCACACACACCACTGGGGTTGAACTACACACGTAGCTGGGCTGGGACAGACACACACACACCACTGGGGTTGAACTACACACGTAGCTGGGCTGGGACAGACACACACAACTGGGCTTTGACTGACACACGCAGACTCACCACTAGGCTGGGACTAATGTGTGTCGTACACGCTCACCCAGACACACAGGAGTGGTTGGAACACACACGGAAAGGATAATACTCCAAAAACATATACTGAACTAAATTATAAACGCAACATGTAAAGTGATGGTCCCATGTTTCATGGGACCATCACTTTTCACTGAAAAGTTCCATTCGCACAAAAAGCTTATTTCTCTCCAATTTTGTGCACAAATTTGTTTACATCCCTGTTAGTGAGCATTTCTTATTTGCCAAGATAATCCATCCACCTAAAAGGTGTGGCATATCAAGAAGCTGATTAAACAGCATGATCATTACACAGGTGCACCTTGTGCTGGGGACAAAAACGCCACTCTAAAATGTTCACAATGCCACAGATGTCACAAGTTGAGGGAGCGTGCAATTGGCATGCTGACTGCAGGAATGTCCACCAGAGATATTGCATGTTCATTTCTCTACAATAAGCCGCATCTGACATCATTTTAGAGAATTTGGCAGTATGTCCAACCGGCCTCACAACCGCAGACCACGTGTAACCACGCCAGCCCAGGACCTCCACATCTGGCTTCTTCACCTGCGGGACCATCTGAGGAGTATTTGTCTGTAATAAAGCCCTTTTGTGGGGAAAAACCCATTCTGATTGACTGGGCCTGGCTCCCCAGTGGGTGGGCCTATTCCCTCCCAGGCCCACCAACGGCTGCACACCTGCCCAGTCATGTGAAATCCATAAATGGATGGCCTACCTAATTTATTTCAATTGACTGATTTCCTTCCATGAACTGTAACTCAGTAAAATCTTTGATATTCTTGCACATTGTGTTTATATTTTTGTTCAGTATACTATGACAGCCACATACATACTTTTAAATGATTGGGATCACAGTATAAAACAAGTACTAACAATGTATTTCGTAGTGTATTCATCGTGCCATAATCCTATTCATGATTGCTATTGGCAGGTGTGTTGAAGTTGGTAATCCCCCACTCCCTCACCTTCTTGTCAGGCAGGTTGAAGAGGAACTCCCTGTCAAAGCGTCCAGGCCTCCGTAGAGCAGGGTCTATGGAGTCCAGTCTATTGGTAGCACCGATCACCACGATTTCACCTCGGCTGTCCAGACCATCCATCAACGCCAGCAGAGTGGACACTATGGAGCTAAAGCAGGGAAGGAGAGAGGGATAGGGAGAGAGAGAGAGAGTCAAACCATACTAAAAACTGATCACTCACATTCATTATTGATTGTCAGAGACCATCATCAAATGGAGATGTCTAACAGCTCCTCCTGCTTCATATAGTACCTGTGTATCTGGTCCTGTCTGCTGGAGCGCACTGGGGCCAGCCCGTCTATTTCATCAAAGAAGATTATGGAGGGCCTCATCAGGTACGCCTAGAAGCAGAACATAAGTCTGGGCTAGAGGTGCATGAGCTAGCCTGAACACAGAGTGTTCTGGATGGCAACTGGTCCAAGTAAGCACACTACAAACAGATCAGGAATTATTTATTAAATACCTTCCCTGACGCTATCCAACTGATAAGCCTTGGCTCATTCCAAGGGCTGTGGCGGTCAATACATTTTGTTAACCGGTGATTGTCATGCAAAATACTGCCTATCGCACAGTACTTGACCGTTAACAAAAACATTTAGCATATCCAGGACTTTTCCTATTTTGTTGCCTTACAACCTGGAATTAAAATGGATTTTGGGGGGGTTTGTATCATTTGATTTACACAACATGCCTACCACTTTGAAGATGCAAAATATTTTTGGGGGTGAAACAAACAAGAAATAAGACAAAAAAACAGAACTTGAGCGTGCATAACTATTCACCCCCCCCCCCCCCCCCAAAAAAAAAAAATCAATACTTTGTAGAGCCACCTTTTGCAGCAATTACAGCTGCAAGTCCCTTGAGGTATGTCTCTGTAAGCTTGGTACATCTAGCCACTGGGAATTTTGCCCATTCTTCAAGGCAAAACTGCTCCAGCTCCTTCAAGTTGGATGGGTTCTGCTGGTGTACAGAATTTCCCTGTATTTAGCGCCATCCATCATTCCTTAAATTCTGACCAGTTTCTCAGTCCCTGCTGACGAAAAACATCCCCACAGCATGATGCTGCCACCACCATGCTTTACTGTGGGGATGGTGTTCTCGGGGTGATGAGAGCTGTTGGGTTTGTGCCAGATATAGCGTTTTCCTTGATGGCCAAAAAGCTCAATTTTAGTCTCATCTGATCAGAGTACCTTCTTCCATATGTTTGGGGAGTCTCCCACATGCCTTTTGGGGAACACCAAACATGTTTGCTTATTTTTTTCTTTAAGCAATGGCTTTTTCTGGCCACTCTTTCGTAAAGCCCAGCTCTGTGGAGTATACGGCTTGACGTGGTCCTATGGACAGATACTCCAATCTCCGCTGTGGAGCATTGCAGCTCCTTCAGGGTTTTCTTTGGTCTCTTTGTTGCCTCTCTGATTAATGCCCTCCTTGCCTGGTCCGTGAGTTTTGGAGGGCGGCCCTCTCTTCGCAGGTTTGTTGTGATGCCATATTCTTTCCATTTTTTAATAATGGATTTAAAGGTGCTCCGCAGGATGTTCAAAGTTTTGGATATTTTTTTATAACCCAACCCTGATCTGTACTTCTCCACAATTTTGTCCCTGACATGTTTGGAGAGCTTCTTGGTCTTCATGGTGTCGCTTGCTTGGTGGTGTCCAATGCTTAGCAGTGTTGCAGATTCTGGGGCCTTTCAGAACAGGTGTATATATACACTGAGATCATGTGACAGATCATGTGACACTTAGATTGCACACATGTGGACTTTATTTAACTAATTATGTGATTTCTGAAGGTAATTGGTTGCACCAGATCTTATTTAGGGGCTTCATAGCAAAGGTGGTGAATACATATGCACGCACCACTTTTCCGTTATTTATTTTGTAGAATTTTTTGAAACAAGTTATTTTTTTTATTTCACTTCCCCAATTTGGACTATTTTGTGAATGTCCATTACACGGAATCCAAATAAAAATCAATTTAAAATTACAGGTTGTAATGCAACAAAATAGGAAAAACGCCAAGGGGGATGAATACTTTCGCAAGGCACTGTACCTTCACAATAAACCCATTATTTATTTTAGGCAGTCTAAAGAAACATTATGATATGAAGAAAATGTATTTCAGAAGAACAGAATACGAGTTGGCCTACTGTATGATATCTGGCTATGCGCCATGCCATATAGGCTTGTTCATTTAGCAGACAAGATATGCTTATAAATCCTGTGCCATTATTTTATATTACACGATTCCAGTGGCGGCTCCTGAAAAAATTCTCAGGAGGGGCAATTTTTCTGATGATTTAGGTGACCTACACACATTTAAAAAAAGATATGTCCAGCAACAACATGAAGACAGGGCCAGCATATAAGTCAATACCAGAAGCATTTATTGACTGATCTCAAAAGTGTTGGCTTACCAGGGTTGGTGGAGCCCTCAGTTTCATCTTTGCCTCGCAAAGCTAACTCAAACACTCCGCAAAACTTCACACACTGGATTAGCCGGCTGAGGATGTGGCGGTTCTTGCTAATGTCGTAGTAAATATATTTGTTATAGTGAATATGGAATATGATATGTTGAGTAAAATGTTGTGCTAAGATCTATTTAGGTCAGGAGCTGGTTATAAGTTCTGTTCCTATCCAATAACAATGGACAAAAGGGTCCTATCTTGTCAGCCTTGTCAGCAGGTGGCCAAGGACAACACCCACGCCATAGGCCTCTCAGTTCTTCCAACTCACGAGTTCTTGCTCTGAGGACACACACACACACACAAACACACACACACACACACATCATCACTGTTAAACACACACACACACACACATCATCACTGTTAAACACACACACACACACACACACACACACACAAAAATCCCCTCTCTTAGGCTGAACATTTGAAGACAGAGAACCCGACTCAGAGCCAATGCAACAGTGACAGTAGCCTGCAGGGGACCTCGCCCATCTCATCAGGACCAATCAGAAGATCAGAACTACTAGATTGAACCTCCTTCATTTATTGCATAAAATGTCTGCACACAATGTTTCGGGGCTCTCTTCAGATAATAATAATAATAATAATAATAATAATAATAATATGCCATTTAGCAGACGCTTTTATCCAAAGCGACTTACAGTCATGCGTGCATACATTTTTGTGTATGGGTGGTCCCGGGGATCGAACCCACTACCTTGGCGTTACAAGCACCATGCTCTACCAGCTGAGCTACAGAAAGTGGATACTCATGGATGCGCATTGCAATTGTAAAATGTCAACACAATTGGAGACACCACGTCATTTTTGGAGACATGTTATTGACAGTAAACTATTGTAGATGCGACTGCTAACTAAATAAAACATTTTAGCTGGCTAGCTAATCATCTTAGCTAAATGTGGGGCAAACAATTCAGTTATTTACCGTTAATTTGAGGGATTGGGGTGAAAGAAATCGAGTTACATAGTGATACTTTACGATATACTGTATTGACAATATCGCAATATTTTAGCGCTAGTTGGCTGTACCTGCACCAAAACACCATTATTGTTCCTTCATAGCTTGTTCTCAATCTTTTCACATTGGGAGCAAATTTGTTTTCAGCACTTTTATTTCCATGACTGATCAAAACTCGTTCTCATGGCTTTCTGATCGCTCTGCAACAGACATATGGTGCGCAATAAAATCACAGTATCGAATCGCAATACGTATAGAATCATGAGACTCGCAATGCTGATGCATATATCTTATCGTGAGGTTCCTGGCAATTCCCAGCCCAAGTTCATTTGCCACAACAAATCTCTTCGCTAGCAAACGCGATGTCTTCTCCAAAACGGCAATGTGTCTCCAGCAATGTTTACTTTTTTGACGTTCTATGGCATCTCCACTTTCCAAGCATATATGACCACATGTAATATTTTGGTAAGTGATGCAAATAGTGAACTATGTAGGGCCAGGATGTAAAATATATGTAGCTGCAGCAATTTCTCTTATCTGATATGGTAAGTAAGGGGGCTTAATTTATAGCTCCCTAAGAGTTTGACGAACGGGTCCGTGAACGCGATTCCAGATATATTTACCTCTGAATAAACTGCCTTTATTACACCATATCCACATCCAGTAAACTTGTGATTATCAACACTAACCTCATCGTTGTGGCGGCGGACAGCTAGCCTGTATCCCTCGTCATCCAGTTGAGTGAGTGGCAATGTCTTTTTTCGTTCGTACCAATTTTTGGAAAATCCTCGGGTGTAGGACTTTCCGCCTTTAGTAGAAACCTGTTGAATTATTAAATTTGGTCTGGGAGGTCCTAATTGTTTCGTTGCCAATTTATCTCCATTTGTTCGCCGACAAAAAGGAACTTCTTTCAAACAATCCACTCTTTTCTCAGTTACGTTCATGGTTACGTAACGTATGACGAAAGCGCGTAAGTGCAAGCCCACAGACACCCATTGAGATTGTATTGAAGGCTCTGAAATTTGAAAAAAATTGATTTTACATGGGAGTCTATTACAGACTTCTGGGCGATTTTCAACCTGACTGAAATCGCCCCAAAAGGGGGGGGAGCCATTTGAAGCACGACTTTAGCCTGATTCGACATTTAGTGGCAGTGTGGCACTGTGGCAGATCAGACGTATAGATTACAACACTGATAACTACTGTTGCCGTGATATAATTGATTAGAAAAAAAATCCCTTCCTTTTCCCGTTTGGCAGTGCGTCGCCCATATCGCCCTATTGAACAGGCCCCCCCTGCACGATTCTATAGTAAGAAGAATATAACTGAACTTAGCTGAATAAAACAGAAAGTATATTTTTTCCATTCCGGAGCGGGTGCGCATATGAAGTGGATATGTTGAGCGTAAAAGTGATCATTTGAAACAAGTCCTATACGCTAGATTTAGAGTTAATGGCAACTTAAGTTGTGAATGATACAAACCTTAGAATGTCTTAGAAATCAAAAACATATACAGTGCATTCGGAAAGTATTCAAACCCCTTGACTTTTTCCACTGTTACATTACAGCCTTATTCTAAAATTGATCAAATGTTTTTTTCCCTCATCAATCTACACACAATACCCCATAATGACAAAGCAAAAACAGGTTTTTAGAAATGTTAGCAAATTTTTATATTAAAAAAAGAAAACTTAAATATTACATTTACATACAGTACCAGTCAAAAGTTTGGACACACCTACTCATTCAAGGGTTTGTCTTTATTTTTACTATTTTCTATATTGTAAAATAATGGTGAAGACATCAAAACAAACAGTTAAACATCAAACAGTTAAACAAATATATTTTATATTTGAGATTCTTCAAAGTAGCCACCCTTTGCCTTGATGACAGCTTTGCACACTCTTGGCATTCTCTCAACCAGCTTCATGAGGTTGTCACCTGGAATAGATTCAAATTAACAGGTGTGCCTTGTTAAAAGTTTAATTTGTGGAATTTCTTTCCTTCTTAATGCATTTAAGCCAATCAGTTGTGTTGTGACAAGGTAGGGTGGGGTATACAGAATATAGCCCTATTTTGTCTATATTATGGCAAGAACAGCTAAAATAAGCAAAAAGAAACGACAGTCCATCATTACTTTAAGACATGAAGGTCAGTCTATCCTGAAAATTTCAAGAAGTTTCTTCAAGTGCAGTCGCAAAAACCATCAAGCGCTATGATGAAACTGGCTCTCATGAGGACCGCCACAGGATTGGAATACCCAGAGTTACCTCTGCTGCAGAGGATAAGTTAATTAGAGTTACCAGCCTTAGAAATTGCAGCCCAAATAAATGCTTCAGAGAGTTCAAGTCACAGACACATCTCAACATCAAATGTTCAGAAGAGACTGTGTGAATCAGGCCTTCATGGTCAATTTGCTGCAAAGAAACCACTACTAAAGGACACCAATAAGAAGAAGAGACTGCTTGGGCCAAGAAACACGAGCAATGGACATTAGACCGGTGGAAATCTGTCCATTGGTCTGATGAGTCCAAATTTTTTATATTTGGTTCCAACCGCTGTGTGTCTTTGTGAGACGCAGAGTAGGTGAACGGATGATCTCCGCATGTGTGCTTCCCACCGTGAAGCATGGAGGAGGTGGTGTGATGGTGTGTGTGTGTTGCTGGTGACACTGTCTGTGATTTATTTAGAATTCAAGGCACACTTAACCAGCATGGCTACCACAGCATTCTGCAGCGATACGCCATCCCATCTGGTTTGGGCTTATTGGGACTATCATTTGTTTTTCAACAGGACAATGACCCAACACACTTCCAGGCTGTGTAAGGGCTATTTTACCAAGAAGGAGAGTGATGGAGTGCTGCATCAGATTACCTGACCTCCACAATCACCCGACCTCAACCCAATTGAGATGGTTTGGGATGAGTTGGACCGCAGAGTGACGGAAAAGCAGCCAACAAGTGCTCAGCATATGTGGGAACTCCTTCAAGGCTGTTGGAAAGGCATTCCAGGTGAAGCTGGTTGAGAGAATGCCAAGAGTGTGCAAAGCTGTCATCAAGGCAAAGGGTGGCTACTTTGAAGAATCTCAAATATATTTTGATTTGTTTAACACTTTTTGGGTTACTACATGATTCCATATGTGTTATTTCATAGTTTTGATGTCTTCACTATTATTCTACAATATAGAAAATAGTAAACAAAGAAAAACCCTGGAATGAGTAGGTGTGTCCAAACTTTTGACTGGTACTGTATGTGTGAAATTAGTTTTGATTTAGAATGGACCATTATCATGACCCTGTATCGGAACAGGGGCATAAAAAAAATAATACATGTCATCTATTCACTTAAATAGCGAATGGAGGACGCTTTTCCTGTGGTTCATTTTCATGCCAGCCAGGTCGGCTATACTACTGTTGTAAAGCAAAGCAATGTGCTTCATATTAGGAAAGTTGATAAATAAATATAGTAGGCCTAGCCTATAGAAAGCTGATGGGATCCTCTTTTTAATAGAGGCCATCAAAACTATGTTTTCTCACACAATTGCACAGCCTATAGAAATGTTGCGCAACATGAGCTCATGGGCTCTCATGAAGCGTTTGATTTTATATTCTAAACCATTTGCATTGATGTCAGAGTGATTAGAGGGACAATAGAGTGCTGAGTACCAGGCAGTTAGAAAGTTTGGTAGGCTACTAACGACCATCAGCAGCATCAGAGCTTGGAGAAGCCTAGTTACCCTGACTAAACGGTCACGTGGCATTTGACTGCGGTCATGACTCGTGACCGCCGGTAATAAGGTCACCGTAACAGCCCTGGTCATGCCTCATGACTGCGGGTGTGGCGGTAACACGGTCACCGCAAGCCCTACTCATGCTCACCTGGTCAAAGAGCAGGCGTAGCTGTCGTTCTGATTCGCCGACCCACTTGCTGAGGCAGTCGGCTCCCTTCCTCATGAAGAAAGACACTTTCTTGTCTCCTTGACTACACTCGTTAGCCAAAGCCCGCGCTACTAGGGTCTTCCCTGTACCTGGTGGGCCGTAGAACAGACACCCTCTGTAGGAGAGGAGGGGGGCAGAGAGAGAGCCAGAGGTAAATAAGTTTAAAGCAGACACAATCCTTTTTTTATTGACCTTGGAACTACATTGTGACCATGATGCAAAAACTGCAAAATTCTGTTTTTCCTATGTCTTGTTGTAATCAAATAACACAGTTCTAAATTGCAAACAAAAGAGGATACATGCTTGATATGTCTGAACATGAATGAATCCCCCTTTACCTTGGGGGCTGTATCTTGAACCTCTCGAAGACCTCTGGGTAGAGGAGTGGGAAGACCACCATCTCCTTCAGAGACTGGATGTGGTTGGACAGCCCTCCTACGCTGTCAAACTTCACTGAGCTGTCCAGATTCATGGGGTCCACATCAGCGAGGCTAGCTCCCACCTTGGCCCTGTCCCTCAGCACCCCACTGGCCAGGTCCTCTGCTCTCAGGTTCATAGGCAGACATCTTTACAAATAACAGAAATACAGGTGATAGAGATGACATACAGCCAATGTGTGGTGAGCTTCCTGGTGCATAACAGCTGCCGCGTATCACCGGGTTTGAAGTGAAGCTACTGTGCTATACAGTACGAACGGTGAATGGAAAGTCGTTTGACCTAGAGAAAAGCCATTTATGAACTGTATCTTATATCAAAATCCACTAGGTGAGTGACAGAGAAAAAGGAGGAGAGGTATTTACCTGTTCCTGGCCCGGGTCATGTTCTTGCTTTTCCTCCTCTCAAATCTGTCCTCGTCAGACGAAGACGTGGTGTCACTACTGTGGATGGCATGCTTCTTCACTCTGGACCAGGGGAGAGAGAAGTAAAACAAAAGACAGATCACTCCATATTAGACCATGTCAATGTAGGTAAGCAGTGTTTTCTTCAAAACGTATGTAGGTAAGCAGTGTTTTCAGGCGGGGTACAACACCCACCGTATATGGCTTCTCCTTGCTGGGGATCTGTGGGTGTCAAACAGGGAGGGGTTGGTTTGTTTTCTGTTGATGGGCTCTGGAATGCATTCAGAGAGACAGAAGATGTTAAAAGCAGAAGGACTCAAGAGGTATAAAACAAAGACAATATCAGGAAATGGTTTTATGCAAGAAAAGGAACGTTTCAGGCAGAGGGCCAGTTTCCCAGACCTACATTAAGACTACTCCTTAACTAAAAGGCACACTCAATGGCGAATCTGGGTCTGGGAAACTCCCCTTAGTGTTGCAGAAAAATCACACAATACTCTATGTTTGTCTTTACCAATAGGTGGCGCCTCGTATCTCTGTACGGTCTTGCGTTGTCTCAGGTTGTACGGTCTGTCGTTCTCCTCTCCAGCTTCCTCTGCCTCGTCTCTTTCATCATCATCATCATCCTCTGCTTCGTCATCCTCTTCCTCACCGTGAGATTCTGAGACAAAGAGGTAAAAAAGTAAGATATGCTTGATTATCTTGTGAACCGCAAGCAACACCGATATAAACTACAGTTCTCTACAAGGCCCTGTACAGCTTTACAAGCAATCCAAACTAAGACAAACCTTCAGTCCCCTCTTCCTCTTCTGTCTTGCTCATGGCTTTGTGGTGTGTCTGCATGACAAAGGTGTTCCTGTGCAGTGCCTTCCTCCTCTTCACACGAGAATACATGTCCATGTTTTCCTAGAAGATCAGGAGTGGAAGGAATGCACATTTAGCTTAGTCTGGCTAACACCTAACTCGAATTCCTTGCATCAGCCAGTTATATTTAGCTAGCTGGCTTGCCATCATAACGTCTACCACTGGAGATAGTTACTAACAACCCACTTTCATATGGCATAATACAGATTGACTGGCTGATTGACAGACTTACCACCTCAGTGTCGGTCCACATGCGGAGTCTCTCCACCTCCCTGTTCTGTCTGATGCTGCTGATGTTGTCCATCTCCTGAAGAACTGCCTCCGCCGTGCTGACAATACAGTTACATTTTAGTCATTTAGCAGACGCTCTTATCCAAAGCGACTTACAGTAGTGAGTGCATACAGTAGTGAGCGCATATATTTTCAAACAATTCACACATCATCAGTATCAATTCATACCGCCTACCTCTGACGTCTTCGCTTTCTATTTTACAGATCACCCATCTCCACCCCGGCACCACCAGGTCTGAGGCCTCCACTTCCTATAGGGAAGAGTGTGTGTGTGTGTGTGTGTTACCTGTTGACGAGCTGGTCAAACAGCAGGCTCTGGTTGAGGTGTTCAAACTGGCTCTTCCTCACTTGGCAGCTCCTCTTTCTGTCAACATGGCCATTCATGTGAGAGTGGTCTCCTGCCCCCTCCTCCTTATGGGCTGCAGGGGTCAGAGGTAACAGGTCAAAACAAAAGAGGTCCCATCTAACTAATACTCCAACTAATACTGTACCTACACACAAACAATGTTGACATGTCTTTAAAAAACTAAAATGAAAGCTTTGGAAAAGAAAACGACGTTACCATTTCCATTTTGCAGGGCGCCAGATGACAACCTGAAACACATTGAGATGTGTAAATATAAAGACTGCCCCATTCTCAGACACAGTCAACAGATGGGTCTGAATCCAGTACACACGGCCAGTACAGGAATTGAACCCAGAACTGTCTGTCAAAGAGGCTGTTATTTTGCCTGCTCACCTGGTGCGGTAGGTGGGCATGCCCCAGGAGACCCTCTGGTCCTTGGCCTGGGGGGAGGGAGAGGTGTCGCTGGAGCTGGTCTGTCTACGGGTTCGCTTCGAGGGAGGGGACAGTCGAGGACTGCTGGGACTGCTCACATCACTACTGGGATCCTTCTAGAGGGGAGGAGAGAGAGTTTGTAGAGAGATGGAGATGGGAGAGAGAGTGCGAGAGATGCCCACACATTCCACCACAAAGCACTCACCTACAGAGAGATTAACCATAGAGAAGAGTCCCCTCAGCCAACTGGTTCTGGGGCTCTGTTCACAAACACACAGAGCCCCAGGACAGCAACACAATTGGACCCAACCAAATTATGAGAAAACAAAAAGATAACTATTTAAAACACACTGGAAAGAATCAACCAAAAAACGGAGCAAACTGGAATGCTAACTGGCCCTAAACAGAAAGTATACAAACCCCAAATTAAGAAAGTCCTTGCTATGTAAGGACAGTGAGCATAGCCTTGCTATTGAGAGAGGCCGCCATAGCCTTTCTTCTCTCGAGAGCCAGGTCTGCCTACGTGCCCACTGCCTATAAAATGAAGTGGAAACTGAGCAGCACTTCCTTATTAGAAACACACACTACCCATCAAAAGATTGGACACACCTACTAATTCAAGGGTTTTACTTTATTTTTACTATTTTCTACATTGTAGAATAATAGTGAAGACATCAAAACTATGAAATAACACATATGGAATCATGTAGTAACCAAATAAGTTTTTAACAAATCAAAATACATATTTTATATTTGAGATATTTTGCAACTTTTTCAAATCATAGTCACACACCTGATGTAGCCTAGCCCATAGACCTATATGTTTTGATAAGGTTTGTATCACAACTAAAGTGGCCAAATAACTTGTTAAAATTAAGCACATTAATCCACTTTATAACCAGTGTAGAGCCTAACTGGCATACATAGGCTGCTCGTGAGTTTCAAGTTTGGGAAGATTATTTTCACCATAGAAAAGCACCTTTATAATAAAGCATTACATGCATTATCACATTTGTCTCACTTTTGACAACAGTGCAAATACAATCGAAAATCACATCAAACACCATCAAAACAGCCATCATACTTTTAAAACTCACCTCACTGTGATGATCAATTTGAAGAAAGAAGTTCAACAGCAGGCTGAAACAGTGTAAACGAAAATGGACAGCGCTTTCTAAGGTGACAATTAATTCAAAACACCGATATACATTTTAGAGTTTATGCATAGACTTCTGAGCACAAGCCCGAAAAAATGACCAGAATTAAAATGATGATTGTGCCATTATACAATACATGGCCTACCTCATATTATGCATGGCAGAAAAACATAAAACAAACCTGATTTAAGATGTCTTTGATACATAATTGGTCTAGCCTTTTGAGTGTGGACTGTATTATTATGCATACTGGATGGACTGGTTACCTTATGCTACGTTCCAAAATGTATATCCATGAATCTGGGAGAGAACGTATAGCCCTAGACGATGCTGTTGGTTCATTGATTGTGCAGGGCGGCTTACAGTTAGCCTACAATTAGTGAATTTGTATTTGAATAGCCTAGTAATAGGGATTTTTTTAATTTACATAATTAATTACCTTTAGCGATACAGAATCTCACCACCATGCGTTTCTAGTTCATCCGCTCTCCCTTTCTCGAGCACGCAGAAGGGCTGTCAACAGTTTAATGAAATGTGTTTCGTTTACGAAAACATGTCACTATCGATGTTCCCAAACAGATTTTCACTTTTTCCAAATGAAGCACTGGGTAGCTGCAGGAACAAGGTTGGAGCATTCAGAGTTTCGGTGGAATATCACCTGTCGGGTAGCGAGAGCATACTCCTAAAACAACGGTTGATGCGTGGAGTGAAATAAGTATTTATTTCTCAGCTGCTCATATTATGCTCGGCTATAAAACCATTGTAGCCTAGAAAATGGACCGGCGGGAAAGCTCGCGGCCTCCATTCCCTATTTGAGCGCATACAGATGACATGTCCTGCCCCTTCTAAATCGAAATTAATTTTGACATATTAGTAAAGACAAGATTAAGTCGAGAATAGTCTGACGGGTGAAAATCAGTTGAGAGAACAGCTGTGCAGCCTGAGGCAAGGAACAGAGCTCAAACTTTGTTGCCATGGAGAATAAGAGCAATTCCTCCCAGCTGCCCACTGCACTGAGGCTAGGAAACACTATCACCACCAATAAATCTACAATAATCGAGAATTTCAACAAGCATTTTGCTACGGCTGGCCATGCTTTCCACCTGGCTACCACTACCCCGGCCACCAGCTTTGCACCCTCCGCTGCAACTTGCCCATGCCCCCCGCTTCTCCTTCACACAAATCCAGACAGCTGATGTTCTGAAAGAGCTGCAAAATCTGGACCCCTACAAATCATCTGGGCTAGACAATCTGGACCCTTTCTTTCTAAAACTAGCCGCTGAAATTGTCGCAACCCCTATTACTAGCCTGTTCAACCTCTCTTTCGTAACGTCTGAGATCCCCAGAGATTGGAAAGCTGCCGCGGTCATCCCCCTCTTCAAAGGGGGTGACACTCTAGATCCAAACTGTTACAGACCCATATCCATCCTGCCCTGCCTTTCGAAAGTTTTTGAAAGCCAAGTTAACAAACAGATCACCGACCATTTCGAATCCCACCGTACCTTCTCCGCTATGCAATCTGGTTTCCGAGCTGGTCATGGGTGCACCTCAGCCACGCTCAAGGTCCTAAACAATATAATAACCGCGATCGATAAAAGACAGTACTGTGCAGCCGTCTTCATCGACCTGGCCAAGGCTTTCGACTCTGTCAACCACCGCATTCTTATTGGCAGACTAAACAGCCTTGGTTTCTCAAATGACTGCCTCGCCTGGTTCACCAACTACTTTTCAGATAGAGTTCAATGTGTCAAATCGGAGGGCCTGTTGTCTGGACCTATGGCAGACTCTATGGGGGTGCCACAGGGTTCAATTCTTGGGCCGACTCTTTTCTCTGTGTATATCAATGATGTCGCTCTTGCTGCTGGTGACTCTCAGATTCACCTCTATGCAGACGACACAATTTTGTATACATCTGGCCCTTCATTGGACACTGTGTTAACAAACCTCCAAACGAGCTTCAATGCCATACAACACTCCTTCAGTAGCCTCCAACTGCTCTTAAACACTAGTAAAACTAAATGCATGCTCTTCAAACGAACGCTGCTTGCACCCGCCCACCCGACTAGAATCACTACTCTCGACGGGTCTGACCTAGAGTATGTGGACAACTACAAATACCTAGGTGTCTGGTTAGACTGTAAACTCTCCTTCCAGACTCACATTAAGAATCTCCAATCCAAAGTTAAATCTAGAATCGGTTTCCTATTTCGCAACAAAGCCTCCTTCACTCATGCTGCCAAACATGCCCTCGTAAAACTGACTATCCTACCGATCCTTGACTTCGGCGATGTCATTTACAAAATAGCCTCCAACACTCTACTCAGCAAATTGGATGTAGTCTATCACAGTGCCATCCGTTTTGTCTCCAAAGCCCCATATACTACCCACCACTGTGACCTGTATGCTCTTGTTGGCTGGCCCTCACTACATATTCGTCGCCAAACCCACTGGCTCCAGGCCATCTATAAATCACTGCTAGGCAAATCCCCGCCTTATCTTAGCTCATTGGTCACCATAGCAACACCCACCCATAGTATGCGCTCCAGCAGGTATATCTCACTGGTCATCCCCAAAGCCAACACCTCCTTTGGCCGCCATTCCTTCCAGTTCTCTGCTGCCAATGACTGGAACGAATTGCAAAAATCTCTGAAGCTGGAGACACTTATCTCCCTCACTAACTTTAAGCATCAGTTGTCAGAGCACCTTACCGATCACTGCACCTGTACACAGCCCATCTGAAATTAGCCCGCCCAACTACCTCATCCCTATATTGTTATTTATTTTGCTCATTTGTACCCCAGTATCTCTATTTGCACATCATCTCTTGCACATCTATCATTCCAGTGTTAATACTAATTGTAATTATTTTGCACTATAGCCTATTTATTGCCTTACCTCCATAACTTGCTACATTTGCACACACTGTATATATATTTTGTTGTATTTTTGACTTTATGTTTTGTTTTACCCCATATGTAACTCTGTGTTGTTGTTTTTAATCGCACTGCTTTGCTTTATCTTGGCCAGGTCGCAGTTGTAAATGAGAACTTGTTCTCAACTGGCTTACCTGGTTAAATAAAGGTGAAATAAAAAAAATCATCAATAGCCTATAGTCGCACCATGCAGACCATCTATGTTTTGATTTCTAAGACATTTTAAGGTTTGTATCATTCACAACTAAAGTTGCCAAATAACTATAAATCTAGCATACAGGACCTGTTTCAAGTGATCACTTTTACGCTCAATATAGCCACGTCATACAGTGCATTCAGAAAGTACTCAGACCCCTTGATTTTTTCCACTTTACATAAGTATTCAGACCCTTTGCTATGAGAATCGAAATTGAGCTCAGGTGCATCCTGTTTTCATTGATCATCCTTGAGATGTTTCTAAAACTTCATTGGAAAAACCAAGCCATGAGGTCGAAGGAATTGTCCGTAGAGCTCCGAGACAGGATTGTGTCGAGGCACAGATATGGGGAAGGGTACCAAAACATTTCTGCAGCATTGAAGGTCCCCAAGAACACAGTGGCCTCCATCATTCTTAAATGGAAGAAGTTTGGAACCACCAAGACTCTTCCTAGAGCTGGCCGCCCGGCAAAACTGAGCAATCGGTGGAGAAGGGCCTTGGTCAGGGAGGTGACCAAGAACCCGATGGTCACTGACAGAGCTCCAGAGTTCCTCTGTGGAGATGGGAGAACATTCCAGAAGGACAACCATCTCTGCAGCACTCTACCAAATCAGGCCTTTATGGTAGAGTGACCAGACAGAAGCCACTCCTCAGTAAAAAAGGCACATGACAGCCCACTTGGAGTTTGCCAAAAGGCACCTAACGGACCCTCAGACCAACAAAATGCTCTGGTCTGATGAAACCAAGATTGAACTCTTTGGCCTGAATGCCAAGTGTCACATCTGAAGGAAACCTGGCAACATACCTGCAGTGAAGCATGGTGGTGGCAGAATCATGCTGTGGGGATGTCTTTCAGTGGCAGGGACTGGGAGACTAGTCAGGATCGAAGGAAAGATGAAAGGAGCAAAGTACAGAGAGATCCTTGATGAAAACCTGCTCCAGAGCGCTCAGGACCTAAGACTAGGTTGAAGGTTCACCTTCCAACAGGACAACGACCCTAAGCACACAGCCAAGACAACGCAGGAGTGGCTTCAGGACAAGTCTCTGAATGAAATCTAGTGGCCCAGCCAGAGCCCGGACTTGATCCCGATTGAACATCTCTGGAGAGACCTGAAAATAGCTGTGCAGTGACGCGCCCCATCCAACCTGACAGAGCTTGAGAGGATCTGCAGAGAAGAATGGGAGAAACTCCTCAAATACAGGTGTGCCAAGCTTGCAGCATCATACCCATGAAGACTTGAGGCTGTAATCGCTGCCAAAGGTGCTTCAACAAAGTACTGAGTAAAGGGTCTGAATACTTATGTAAATGTCATTTCAGATGGTTTTTTTTTGCAAAGATTTCAAAAAAACTGCTTTTGGTTTATCATTGTCGGATATTGTATAGATTGATTAGGGAAAAAAACAATTTAATCCATTTTAGAATAAAGGGTCTGCATACTCGCTCCGTAATGGGAAAAATATCCTTTATATTTTTTTCAGTTTAGTTCAATTATATTCTTCCTACTATAAAATCATATAAAATAAAATAATGGCACGGGACTTACAGTGAGGGAAAAAAGTATTTGATCCCCTGCTGATTTTGTACGTGTGCCCACTGACAAAGAAATGATCAGTCTATAATTTTAATGGTAGGTTTATTTGAACAGTGAGAGACAAAATAATAACAAATAAATCCAGAAAAACGCATGTCAAAAATGTTATGAATTGATTTGCATTTTAATGAGGGAAATAAGTATTTGACCCCTCTGCAAAACATGACTTAGTACTTGGTGGCAAAACCCTTGTTGGCAATCACAGAGGTCAGACATTTCTTGTAGTCGGCCACCAGGTTTGCACACATCTCATGAGGTATTTTGTTCCACTCCTCTTTGCAGATCTTCTCCAAGTCATTAAGGTTTCGAGGCTGACGTTTGGCAACTCGAACCTTCAGCTCCCTCCATAAATGTTCTATGGGATTAAGGTCTGGAGACTGGCTAGGCCACTCCAGGACCTTAATGTGCTTCTTCTTGAGCCACTCCTTTGTTGCCTTGGCCGTGTGTTCTGGGTCATTGTCATGCTGGAAAACCCTTCCACGACCCTTTTTCAATGCCCTGGCTGAGGGAAGGAGGTTCTCACCCAACATTTGACGGTACATGGCCCCGTCTATCGTCCCTTTGATGCGGTGAAGTTGTCCTGTCCCCTTAGCAGAAAAACACCCCCAAAGCATAATGTTTCCACCTCCATGTTTGACGGTGGGGATGGTGTTCTTGTGGTCATAGGCAGCATTCCTCCTCCTCCAAACACGGCGATTTGAGTTGACGCCAAAGAGCTCGATTTTGGTCCCATCTGACCACAACACTTTCACCCAGTTCTCCTATGAATCATTCAGATGTTCATTGGCAAACTTCAGACGGCCCTGTATATGTGCTTTCTTGAGCAGGGGGACCTTGTGGGCGCTGCAGGATTTCAGTCCTTCACGGCGTAGTGTGTTATCAATTGTTTTCTTGGTGACTATGGTCCCAGCTGCCTTGAGATCATTGACAAGATCCTCCCGTGTAGTTCCTGGCTGATTCCTCACCGTTCTCATGATCATTGCAACTCCACGAGGTGAGATCTTGCATGGAGCCCCAGGCCGAGGGATATTGACAGTTATTTTGTGTTTCTTCCATTTGCGAATAATCGCACCAACTGTTGTCGCCCATTCCAGCCTTGTGTAGGTCCCTGACATCCTTGGAGAAATCTTTGGTCTTGGCCATGGTGGAGAGTTTGGAATCTGATTGATTGCTTCTGTGGACAGGTGTCTTTTATAGAGGTAACAAACTGAGATTAGGAGCACTCCCTTTAAGAGTGTTCTCCTAATCTCAGCTCGTTACCTGTATAAAAGACACCTGGGAGCCAGAAATCTTTCTGATTGAGAGGGGGTCAAATACTTATTTCCCTCATTAAAATGCAAAATCAATTTATAACATTTTGGACATGTTTTTCTGGATTTATTTTTTGTTATTCTGTCTCTCACTGTTCAAATAAACCTACCATTAAAATTATAGACTGGTCATTTCTTTGTCAGTGGGCAAACGTACAAAATCAGCAGGGGATCAAATACGTTTTTTCCCTCACTGTATAAGCATATCTTGTCAGCTAAATGAACAAGCCTACAGCCTTTGGCCTTGAGCATAGCCAGGTAACATACAGTAGGGCCAACTAATATTCTGTTCTTCTGAAATACATTTTCTTCATATCATGTTTGTTTATACCTGACTAAAATAAATAATGGATTTATTGTGATGGTGTATATTAAATTGATAGACTTTTTTTATGTAGATGTTCAAAAGACGCACACCAGCAGCTTGTATGTGCGGAGGCCTGGAGATGCTAAACGTGTTTATGTTTACGGTCAATTACCGTGAGACCGGGCAGTCTTTTGCATGACAATAACCGGCTGACAAAATTTCATGACCGCCACAGCCCTACCGTCCCCCCGCCCTCCCTCCTGAACATTTATGTTGGTGACCATGTACATTAGCCTGGCCAATTACCGTAACCTAAAATTCCAAGACCGTCACAGCCCTAGCCCCAGAACAGCAACACAATTAGACCCAATCAAATCACCGCTTGGTATGGCAACTGCTCGGCATCTGACCACAAGGCGCTACAGAGGCCTATAACTTCTTGCCTATATTTCTTTTTGAAAAGACGATAAATAGAATTGCCGCTGACCAATTGTCCGGGAGAACAAGAAAAAATCCCATTACAAAATAATGCTTTTTAGCCTATTCATTGATGGAAATATTTTTGACTGGTCATGCTTATAAGTCTATAGCTTAATTTGCATAATTTGATGGAATTAACTTGGCGCGTGTGTAGGCTACAGTATATTCTTTATGTACACTACCGTTCAAAAGTTTGGGGTCACTTACAAATTTCCTTGTTTTCCATGAAAACATACATGAAATGAGTTTGAATAGGAAATATAGCAAAATGAATAGGAAATGTAGTCAGTTTAGAAATAATGATTTTTTATTGAAATAATAGTGTCCTTCAAACTTTGCTTTCGTCAAAGAATCCTCCATTTGCAGCAATTACAGCTTTGTAGACCTTTGACATTCTAGTTGTCAATTTGTTGAGGTAATCTGAAGAGATTTCACCCCATGCTTCCTGAAGCACCTCCCACAAATTGGATTGGCTTGATGGGCACTTCTTACGTACCATACGGTCAAGCTGCTCCCACAACAGCTCAATAGGGTTGAGATCCAGTGACTGTGCTGGCCACTCCATTACAGACAGAATACCCGCTGACTGCTTCTTCCCTAAATAGTTCTTGCATAGTTTGGAGCTGTGCTTTGGGTCATTGTCCTGTTGTAGGAGGAAATTGGCTCCAATCAAGCGCCGTCCACAGGGTATGGCATTGCAAAATGGAGTGATAGCCTTCCTTCTTCAAGATCCTTTTACCCTGTACAAATCTCCCACTTTACCACCACCAAAGCACCCCCAGACCATCACATTGCCTCCACCATGCTTGACAGATGGCATCAAGCACTCCTTCAGCATCTTTTCATTTGGTCTGCGTCTCACAAAAGTTATTCTTTGTGATCCGAACACCTCAAACTTCGATTCGTGTGTCCATAACACTTTTTTTTCAATCTTCCTCTGTCCAGTGTCTGTGTTATTTTGCCCATCTTAATATTTACTTTTTATTGACCAGTCTTAAATATGGCTGTTTCTTTGCAACTCTGCCTAGAAGGTCAGCATCCTTCTTCACTGTTGATGTTGAGACTGGTGTTTTGCGGGTACTATTTAATGAAGCTGCCAGTTGAGGACCGGTGAGGCATCTGTTTCTCAAACTAGACACTCAAATGTATTTGTCCTCTTGCTCAGTTGTGCACCGGGGCCTCCCACTCCTCTTTCTATTCTGGTTAGAGCCAGATTGCGCTGTTCTGTGAAGGGAGTAGTACACAGTGTTGTACGAGATCTTCAGTTTCTTGGCAATTTCTCGCATGGAATAGCCTTAATTTCTCAGAACAAGAATAGACTGACGAGTTTCAGAATAAAGTTATTTGTTTCTGGCCATTTTGAGCCTGTAATCGAACCCACAATTGCTGATGCTCCAGATACTCAACTATTCTCAAGAAGGCCAGTTTTGAAACCACTTGCATGTCCGGTGCACTTTAGACAATGCTTAAACTAAATGTTCTGATCTGTTGCATCAGACTCATTGCTTTTTAACCCATAAGAGTCTAAACCAGGCCTGGGCAATTCCAGTCCTCAGGGGCCTGATTGGTGTCACACTTTTGCCCAATCCCTAGCAAACACAGCTGATTTAAACTAATTGCATTTTTAACTGAAGATCATGATCAGTTGATTATTGGAGTCAGGTGTGTTAGCTGGGGCAAAAGTGTGATACCAATCAGGCCCCCGAGGACTGGAATTGCCTACTCATTCAAATGTTTTTCTTTATTTTTACTATTTTCGACATTGTAGAATAATAGTGAAGACATCAAAACTATGAAATAACACACGGAATCATGTAGTAACCAAAAAAGTGTTAAATCTAAATGTATTTTATATTTGACATTCTTCAAATAGCCACCCTTTGCCTTGATGACAGCTTTGCACACTCTTGGCATTTAACCCCTCGTTTTTGGCACTAAACAGTCTCCATATATACTGTACTTCCATTAATTTTTTCAACTGGTACCGAGGGACCTTCAGACGAGTCTTGTGAGGCCTGTGGGCGTCCTAGATCAAAACAACTGACGTGTTCGTGAGAGTATCACCTTTCCAAACTGTTCGGCCGCTACAGACAGAAGTTGGCAGATCGGCGGTACCAACTTCAGACGAGTCCCAATACGCTTGTGGGGTTCGTAGAGCAAAACGGAGAACACTATCGTGTTCGTGAAAGGCTCATCTTTCCATAGAGTGGTCATAATAGTTTGTTGGCCAAACCGGTTCGACGCTAGACGATTTTGTGAGAAGACCGATTTTTGGGATGTCTCATGGTCTGACAAACATCGCTCTAGCTCTGTCACCTTTCACCGCAGATGGGATAGTGCGACAACGCAAAAAAACAGATCTCTAGCTTAAACTGACAGAATCTTATGGGGATTTTGTATTATGCTAATTAGATTTATGCTGGGGCGCGGACATCGACCTTAGTTAACTTTTTTTTTTATGTAGCCTAGGCCTACTGGTTGTATGAATTTGGGATCTATCTTCCCACAACTGTCCCAGAGTCTGTTTGGAATAGGATATTTATTTAACGACAAGCTGACCAATAGAATAGGTAAACTTTTCTACTATGGGGGATAATGTCACGATACCAACATTCTACAAATGATACGATACAGTGGGGAAAAAAGTATTTAGTCAGCCACCAATTGTGCAAGTTCTCCCACTTAAAAAGATGAGAGGCCTGTAATTTTCATCATAGGTACACGTCAACTATGACAGACAAATTGAGAAAAAAAAATCCAGAAAATCACATTGTAGGATTTTTTATGAATTTATTTGCAAATTATGGCGGAAAATAAGTATTTGGTCACCTACAAACAAGCAAGATTTCTGGCTCTCACAGACCTGTAACTTCTTCTTTAAGAGGCTCCTCTGTCCTCCACTTCGTTACCTGTATTAATGGCACCTGTTTGAACTTGTTATCAGTATAAAAGACACCCGTCCACAACCTCAAACAGTCACACTCCAAACTCCACTATGGCCAAGACCAAAGAGCTATCAAAGGACACCAGAAACAAAATTGTAGACCTGCACCAGGCTGGGAAGACTGAATCTGCAATAGGTAAGCAGCTTGGTTTGAAGAAATCAACTGTGGGAGCAATTATTAGGAAATGGAAGACATACAAGACCACTGATAATCTCCCTCGATCTGGTGCTCCACGCAAGATCTCACCCCGTGGGGTCAAAATGATCACAAGAACGGTGAGCAAAAATCCCAGAACCACACGGGGGGACCTAGTGAATGACCTGCAGAGAGCTGGGACCAAAGTAACAAAGCCTACCATCAGTAACACACTACGCCGCCAGGGACTCAAATTCTGCAGTGCCAGATGTGTCCCCCTGCTTAAGCCAGTACATGTCCAGGCCCGTCTGAAGTTTGCTAGAGTGCATTTGAATGATCCAGAAGAGTATTGGGAGAATGTCATATGGTCAGATGAAACCAAAATAGAACTTTTTGGTAAAAACTCAACTCGTCGTGTTTGGAGGACAAAGAATGCTGAGTTGCATCCAAAGAACACCATACCTACTGTGAAGCATGGGGGTGGAAACATCATGCTTTGGGGCTGTTTTTCTGCAAAGGGACCAGGACGACTGATCCGTGTAAAGGAAAGAATGAATGGGGCCATGTATCGTGAGATTTTGAGTGAAAACCTCCTTCCATCAGCAAGGTCATTGAAGATGAAACGTGGCTGGGTCTTTCAGCATGACAATGATCCCAAACACACCGCCCGGGCAACGAAGGAGTGGCTTCGTAAGAAGCATTTCAAGGTCCTGGAGTGGCCTAGCCAGTCTCCAGATCTCAACCCCATAGAAAATCTTTGGAGGGAGTTGAAAGTCCGTGTTGCCCAGCGACAGCCCCAAAACATCACTGCTCTAGAGGAGATCTGCATGGAGGAATGGGCCAAAATACCAGCAACAGTGTGTGAAAACCTTGTGAAGACTTACAGAAAACGTTTGACCTGTGTCATTGCCAACAAAGGGTATATAACAAAGTATTGAGAAACTTTTGTTATTGACCAAATACTTATTTTCCACCATAATTTGCAAATAAATTCATTAAAAATCCTACAACGTGATTTTCTGGAGTTTTTTTTCTCATTTTCTCTGTCATAGTTGACGTGTACCTATGATGACAATTACAGGCCTCTCTCATCTTTTTAAGTGGGAGAACTTGCACAATTGGTGGCTGACTAAATACTTTTTTTCCCCCACTGTACCAGGCCAAGTATTACGATACCGAGTAGTATTGCAATACTTCGGTGGAAGAAAATCTGTGGCCAAGCGTCCCGTTCGCCGGACACTTTCTCGTTTTCTAAACTTCTTCAATACAACACATTTAATTTAACTTTACACTGTTCAGTGTATAATAGAATGCTGCATAGAATGGCTGATTTGCTCATATTTGCAAAGGCCTACCTGTGATTTGGCTGGAGGAATGGGAGGAAGGAATAAACATGCATAATAATCTGCATGTCATTGTGTCAGTAAGGGGAAAACACTGCATTAAACCTTCTTTACTCTTCAGTTAACACAGACACACACTCTCCCTCCCTCACACACTGTTTCCCTCACTCTCATAAACACACACAACTCTCTCGCTCTCTCCCACAAACACACACTGCTCCCAACTTTTCAAAGGTTAGGCACCAAACAGAATTTAAGGAGCACCAGAAAGAAATAGATTTTTGATATAGTTTAGGATTACATTAGGCTTATATGAATCCTACCTTTGAAGCACATCTCATGAGTAGCAGACCCTTATGCTTTCTTCCTGTGCCAATCAAATTTGCCTAAACCTACTGTCAAGTTAACAAGTTGTTAGCTAGATAGGTAACATGACTGACCGTTGTTTGTAAACAACCCAATAATTAGCGACCCGAGATTAGTTTAAAAACAGCCCAGGACATGGTTTGTGAAATTATATAAAATGCGTGTGAATTCTGCTAGAAATAAAAAAGGTATTTCTGGTAATATGGGTCATATTCTTTTAACCGTTTAAGCTAGAGACAAGCCGTTGCTGTAAAGCTGCAAGCATGCCTGTTGCGAAGCGGTGCTCAATTTAATTTTCCCTCTCTGACACTCAGCGGCTGCATGTCAGTGAACTTGAAAAGTCTACTCAGACTGATCCGTGCTCTTGGTTACAACAGGCGATTAAATGATACAATGTATCAACATTGCTCGCTTCGCGCGCTGCTCCAATGTACAAATCTAACAACAGAAGACTCATCAGGGTCTGGCATCCCCACTTGCCATCACTGCTAAATTATATGTTTAAAAAAACATTTGGAGGAATAGATACACATGAAGAGCGGCCAGAGAGAAGCAGGGGAAAAGTGCTGCATGGTAAATCCGACGTCTGCATTTATGGTGATATGGCCTCTGCAGATGTCAGGGCTTCGCCGAGCAGCGCGGAGCTGTTGTGACGGAACTTGTTAAGTTAGTGAGTTTGTGTTTATACAGGACCTCCCACCCTCACCTACCGTCAACCAATCATGTCAATGTGGAGCTATACGGAGCTCTCCGCATTGTTACAAAATTTGAGAGGTGCACAATGATGCGGTCCGGAGTTCAATTTGGCCTCTGCGTGCCTCTGGAGGTGCCGCATTTGCATAAGACAATCCATACCGCGCCTCCGACCACATTTTCAGATCAAGCATAAATTGGCTCTTACGGTAGTCCCCAGTCACCTGTCACATGGTGTTTGTTTACAAGCACACAACGACCAGAGCCTTGTGAGTCACTCACTGTCGTGCAGCATGCACTAGCTGATCTATTTACAGTATGCAATTCACAACCAAATATTTGTTTTGTGCGTGCAGCAAACTGCATCATTAAGTTTTGGTACCGTGACATTACCGTGGTAACGGTATATACCGTGCAACGCTAATGGGGAATAGTAGATTGACATAGGCTAGGGATTTTGCTGTTCATTACTGGCCTTATTGGCTGAGGAAAAGTAAATGTGGACAGTTATTCTAACATCTTCAAAGTGCACATCAGAATTTGGTAAGAAGGACCGCACATAGTTGCATCCTCGACTTGCGTGTTCTGTTAATATGAATTACCATAATCTAAATGTGATATGTCATTCTGAGCTCCGTGGGTTGACGCACTAATCAGGTTACGCACTCAATGCATATGGGTCTGGCAGATTTCTCAAATGTCCGGTCAAATGTCCCAGCACATCACTGGGGCAGAGCTTCCTGTCATCCAGGACCACTGACACCGCCTGGTATAGAGGAAGGCCCTAAACATTGTCAAAGACTCCAGACACCCAAGTCATAGACTGTTCTCTCTGCTACCGTACGGCAAGCGGTACCGGCGCGCCAAGCCTGGGACCAATAGATTCCTTAACAGCTTCTACCCCCAAGTCATAAGACTGCTGAACAGTTATCAAATGGCTAGCCGGACTATTTGCATTGACCCCTTATTTTATTATTATGTATTATTTTTGCACTGACTCTCTTGCACAGGCTTGATGTACACTCACTGGACTAACCTCACACACACACGCATATTGACGCCACACACATTCACACACACTGCTGCTACTCGGTATATTATCTATACATAGTCGCTTTACCCCTACCTACACGTACATATTACCTCAATTATCTCGACTAACCTTAACCCCTGCACATTGACTCAGTACCAGTACCCATTGTATATAGCGTCATTATTGTTATTTTATTGTGTTACTATTTTTCCTTTAGTTTATTTAACATTTGTTTTTTTGGTATTTTATTTTTTACTCTGCATTGTTGGTTAAGGGCTCGTAAGTAAGCATTTCATAGTAAAGTCTACAGCTGTTGTATTTCACATATGTGACAAAAAAAAATTGTCACAACTACTTGACACATTGGAAAGAATAAACCAAAAACAGAGCAAATTGGAATGCTATTTGGCTCTTAACAGAGACTACACAGTGGCAGAATACCTGACCGCTGTGGCTGACCCAAAACAAAAACAACAACAAAACGAACTATGTACAGACTCAGTGAGCATAGCCTTGCTATTGAGAGAGAGGTCGCCATAGGCAGACCTGGCTCTCAAGAGAAGACAGGATATGTGGCCACTGCCCACAAAATGAGATGGAAACAGAGCTGTACTTTCTAACCTCCTGCCATATTTCCCTCAAATTTCACAAACCTCAAAGAATTCAAACACAAATTGACAAACTCCAATATACATGTTAGGCGAAATACCGCAGTGCGCAATCCCAGCAGCAGAATTTGTGAACCGATGCCACAAGAAAACATCAACCAGTGAGTCAGAAACACCAATGCAAATACAACCTATATTTATCTGCCTATTCATTTCCTCCCCGTCAGTCGTACATTCTACTATTTGCACTTTGTCACAACACTGTACACAGCTTATGAAACTTTTAAATGTTATACTACATTTAACCGCTAATATATTATTTAAAAGTGGTTATTCTCTTGAAACTTTGTTTGTGTAATGTTTATACTGTTAATGTCTGATTAATATCGTTGTTTAATTTCGCAGTCGGTTTTTGTTGTTGTTTTGTTTATTTCGCTTGCTTTGGCAATGCAAACATGTTTCCCACGCCAACAAAGCCCCTTTGAATTGAATTGAGAGAGCGAGAAAAGCGATGGAGACGGGAAGAAAGGACACAAATAGCGAGACTCCTTAACGCACTGACTGTACCATAAAAACACAAAGGACTATAAAGCAATGGCATGTCCTTGGTACTTGTATGTCCTTCACAGTCTGTAAGCCTTCCTTCCTTATTGATACAACACAATAACCTGTCTGCTGCCATAGAATCCTGCTAGCAGCTTACAGGGAGAATAGTCTGACTATCGGCCACACACCAACGACTGAACAGAACACGGTCCTTAGGTGTCGATCAATAGTTACAGATCACAATATTATTTCTGGACGATCCAGACGCCTCCAAGTAACGGTTTACTTATTTTTTTATATACAGTGGGGAGAACAAGTATTTGATACACTGCCGATTTTGCAGGTTTTCCTACTTACAAAGCATGTAGAGGTCTGTGATTTTTATCATAGGTACACTTCGACTGTGAGAGCCGGAATCTAAAACAAAACAAAAAAAATCACATTGTATGATTTTTAAGTAATTAATTTGCATTTTATTGCATGACATAAGTATTTGATACATCAGAAAAGCAGAACTTAATATTTGGTACAGAAACATTTGTTTGTAATTACAGAGATCATACGTTTCCTGTAGGTCTTGACCAGGTTTGCACACACTGCAGCAGGGATTTTGGCCCACTCCTCCATACAGACCTTCTCCAGATCCTTCAGGTTTCGGGGCTGTCGCTGGGCAATACGGACTTTCAGCTCCCTCCAAAGATTTTCTATTGGGTTCAGGTCTGGAGACTGGCTAGGCCACTCCAGGACCTTGAGATGCTTCTTACGGAGCCACTCCTTAGTTGCCCTGGCTGTGTGTTTCAGGTCGTTGTCATGCTGGAAGACCCAGCCACGACCCATCTTCAATGCTTTTACTGAGGGAAGGAGGTTGTTGGCCAATATCTCGCGATACATGGCCCCATCCATCCTCCCCTCAATACGGTGCAGTCATCCTGTCCCCTTTGCAGAAAAGCATCCCCAAAGAATGATGTTTCCACCTCCATGCTTCACGGTTGGGATGGTGTTCTTGGGGTTGTACTCATCCTTCTTCTTCCTCCAAACACAGCGAGTGGAGTTTAGACCAAAAAGCTATATTTTTGTCTCATCAGACCACATGACCTTCTCCCATTCCTCCTCTGGATCATCCAGATTGTCATTGGCAAACTTCAGACAGGCCTGGACATGCGCTGGCTTGAGCAGGGGGACCTTGCGTGCGCTGCAGGATTTTAATCCATGACGGCGTAGTGTGTTACTAATGGTTTTCTTTGAGACTGTGGTCCCAGTTCTCTTCAGGTCATTGACCAGGTCCTGCCGTGTAGTTATGGGCTGATCCCTTACCTTCCTCATGATCATTGATGCCCCACGAGGTGAGATCTTGCATGGAGCCCCAGACCGAGGGTGATTGACCGTCATCTTGAACTTCTTCCATTTTCTAATAATTGCGCCAACAGTTGTTGCCTTCTCACCAAGCTGCTTGCCTATTGTCCTGTAGCCCATCCCAGCCTTGTGCAGGTCTACAATTTTATCCCTGATGTCCTTACACAGCTCTCTGGTCTTGGCCATTGTGGAGAGTTTGGAGTCTGTTTGATTGAGTGTGTGGACAGGTGTCTTTTATACAAGTAACGAGTTCAAACAGGTGCAGTTAATACAGGTAATGAGTGGAGAACAGGAGGGCTTCTTAAAGAAAAACTAACAGGTCTGTGAGGGCCGGAATTCTTACTGGTTGGTAGGTGATCAAATACTTATGTCATGCAATAAAATGCAAATTAATTACTTAAAAATCATACAATGTGATTTTCTGGATTTTTGTTTTAGATTCCGTCTCTCACAGTTGAAGTGTACCTATGATAAAAATTACAGACCTCTACATGCTTTGTAAGTAGGAAAACCTGCAAAATCGGCAGTGTATCAAATACTTGTTCTCCCCACTGTATACAGTACCGGTCAAAAGTTATAGAACACCTACTCATTCAAGGGTTTTTCTTTATTTGTACTATTTTCTACATTATAGAATAATAGTGAAGACATCAAAACTATGAAATAACATATGGAATCATGTAGTAACCAAAAACGTGTTAAACAAATCAAAATATATTTGAGATTCTTCAAATAGCCACCCTTTGCCTTGATGACAGCTTTCACACTCTTGGCATTCTCTCAACCAGCTTCATGACGTTGTCACCTAGAACGCATTTCAATTAACAGGGGTGCCTTCTTAAAAGTTAATTTGTTGATTTTCTTAATGCGTTTGAGCCAATCAGTTGTGTTGTGACAAGGTAGGGGTGGTATATTTGCACTGCCCCCCCCACCCCATCCTTTTTACGCTGCTGCTACTCTGTTAAGTATTTATGCATAGTCACTTTAACTCTACCCACATGTACATATTACCTCAACTAGCCGGTGCCCCCGCACATTGACTCTGAAACGGTACCCCCCTGTATATATAGCCTCCCTACTGTCACTTTATTTTACTTCTGCTCTTTTTTTTCTCGACACTTTTTTTGTTGTTGTTTTATTTTTACTTTTTTGTTTAAAATAAATGCACTGTTGGTTAAGGGCTGTAAGTAAGCATTTCACTGTAATGTCTGCACCTGTTGTATTCGGCGCATGTGACCAATAAAATTTGATTTGATTTGATTTATACCGAAGATTGCCCTATTTGGTAAAAGACCAAGTCCGTATTATGGCAAGAACAACTCAAATAAGCAAAGAGAAACAACAGTCCATGATTACTTTAAGACATGAAGGTCAGTCAATACGGAACATTGAGAACTTTTAAAGTTTCTTAAAGTGCAGTTGCAAAAACCATCTGTTCAAATAAACCTACCATTAAAAGTATAGACTGATCATTTCTTTGTCAGTGGGCAAACTTACAAAATCAGCAGGGGATCAAATACTTTTTTCCCCTCACTGTATGTATTCACCCCCTTTGCTATGAAGCCCATAAATAAGATCTGGTGCAACCAATTACCTTCAGAAGTCACATAAGTAGTGAAATAAAGTCCACCTGTGTGCAATCTAAGTGTCACATGATCTCAGTATGTATATATATATATATATGTATATATATATATATATATATATATATATATATATATATATATATATATATATATATATATATATACACACACACACATATATATACATATATATATATACATACACACACACACAGTGGGGAGAACAAGAATTTGATTTACTGCCGAATTTGCAGGTTTTCCTACTTACAAAGCATGTAGGTCTGTAATTTTTATCATAGGTACACTTCAACGGTGAGAGACGGAATCTAAAACAAAAATCCAGAAAATCACATTGTATGATTTTTAAGTAATTAATTTGCATTTTATTGCATGACATAAGTATTTGATCACCTACCAACCAGTAAGAATTCCGGCTCTCACAGACCTGTTCGTTTTTATTTAAGAAGCCCTCCTGTTCTCCACTCATTACCTGTATTAACTGCACCTGTTTGAACTCGTTACCTGTATAAAAGACACCTGTCCACACACTCAATCAAACAGACTCCAAACTCTCCACAATGGCCAAGACCAGAGAGCTGTGTAAGGACATCAGGGATAAAATTGTAGGCCTGCACAAGGCTGGGATGGGCTACAGGACAATAGGCAAGCAGCTTGGTGAGAAGGCAACAACTGTTGGCGCAATTATTAGAAAATGGAAGAAGTTCAAGATGACGGTCAATCACCCTCGGTCTGGGGCTCGGTCTGGGGCTCCATGCAAGATCTCACCTCATGGGGCATCAATGATCATGAGGAAGGTGAGGGATCAGCCCATAACTACACGGCAGGACCTGGTCAATGACCTGAAGAGAGCTGGGACCACAGTCTCAAAGAAAACCATTAGTAACACACTACGCCGTCATGGATTAAAATCCTGCAGCGCACGCAAGGTCCCCCTGCTCAAGCCAGCGCATGTCCAGGCCCGTCTGAAGTTTTCCAATGACCATCTGGATGATCCAGAGGAGGAATGGGAGAAGGTCATGTGGTCTGATGAGACAAAAATATGAGCTTTTTGGTCTAAACTCCACTCGCCGTGTTTGGAGGAAGAAGATGGATGAGTACAACCCCAAGAACACCATCCCAACCGTGAAGCGTGGCAGTGGAAACATCATTCTTTGGGGATGCTTTTCTGCAAAGGGGACAGGACGACTGCACCGTATTTAGGGGAGGATGGATGGGGCCATGGATCGCGAGATCTTGGCCAACAACCTCCTTCCCTCAGTAAGAGCATTGAAGATGGGTCGTGGCTGGGTCTTCCAGCATGACAACGACCCGAAACACACAGCCAGGGCAACTAAGGAGTGGCTCCGTAAGAAGCATCTCAAGGTCCTGGAGTGGCCTAGCCAGTCTCCAGACCTGAACCCAATAGAAAATCTTTGGAGGGAGCTGAAAGTCTGTATTGCCCAGCGACAGCCCCGAAACCTGAAGGATCTGGAGAAGGTCTGTATGGAGGAGTGGGCCAAAATCCCTGCTGCAGTGTGTGCAAACCTGGTCAAGACCTACAGGAAACGTATGATCTCTGTAATTGCAAACAAAGGTTTCTGTACCAAATATTAAGTTCTGCTTTTCTGATGTATCAAATACTTATGTCATGCAATAAAATGCAAATTAATTACTTAAAAATCATACAATGTGATTTTCTGGATTTTTCTGGTCTCTCACAGTTGAAGTGTACCTATGATAAAAATTACAGACCTCTACATGCTTTGTAAGTAGGAAAACCTGCAAAATCGGCAGTGTATCAAATACTTGTTCTCCCCACTGTGTGTGTGTGTGTGTGTGTGTGTGTGTATATATATATATATATATATATATACACATACATACACATACATACATACATACATACATACATACATACACACACCTGTTCTGAAAGGCCCCAGATTCAGCAACATCACTAAGCCACCAAGCAAGCAGCACCATGAAGACCAAGGAGCTCTCCAAACAGGTCAGGGACAAAGTTGTGAAGAAGTACATATCAAGGTTGGATTATTAAAAAATATCAGAAACTTTCAACATCCCACGGAGCACCAATAAATCCATTATAAAAAAATGGAAAGAATATGGCACCACAACAAACCTGCCAAGAGAGGGCCGCCCACCAAAACTCACAGACCAGGCAAGGAGGGCATTAACCAGAGGCAACAAAGAGACCAAAGATAACCCTGAAGGAGCTGCAAAGCTCCACAGCGGAGATTTGAGTATCTGTCCATAGGACCACGTTAAGCCGTACACTCCACAGAGCTGGGCTTTACAGAAGAGTGGCCAGAAAAAAGCCATTGCTTAAAGAAAAAAATAAGCAAACACATTTGGTGTTCGCCAAAAGGCATGTGGGAGACTCCCCAAACATATGGAAGAAGGTACTCTGGTCAGATGAGACTAAAATTGAGCTTTTTGGCCATCAAGGAAAACGCTATGTCTGGCGCAAATCCAACACCTCTCATCACCCCAAGAACACCATCCCCACAGTAAAGCATGGTGGTGGCAGCATTATGCTGTTGGGATGTTTTTCGTCAGCAGGGACTGAGGTTCACCTTCCAGCAGGACAATGACCCTAAGCATACTGCTAAAGCAACACTTGAGTAGTTTAAGGGGAAATATTTAAATGTCTTGGAATGGCCCAGACCTCAATCCAATTGAGAATCTGTGGTATGACTTAAAGATTGCTGTACACCAGCGGAACCCATCCAACTTGAAGGAGCTGGAGCAGTTTTGCATTGAAGAATGGGCAAAAATCCCAGTGGCTAGATGTGCCAAGCTTATAGGAGACATACCTAAGGAGAATTGCAGCTGTAATTGCTGCAAAAGGTGGCTCTACAAAGTATTGACTTTGGGGGGGGTGAATAGTTATGCATGCTCAAGTTGTTTTTTTAACTTATTTATTGTTTGTTTCACAATACAAAATATTTTGCATCTTCAAAGTGGTAGGCATGTTGTGTAAATCAAATGATACAAACCCCCCAAAAATCCATTTTAATTCCAGGTTGTAAGGCAACAAAATAGGAAAAATGCCAAGGGGGGTGAATACTTTCGCAAGCCACTGAAGCGTTCTAATGCTCTCGTCTCTTTGCAGCAGACATATAGTGAGCAATATGTTTGGAACATCCAATCGTAGTATCAAATCACAATGCATATAGAATTGTGAGAATGGCAATACATACACACACTACATGACCAAAAGTATGTGGATACCAGCTCATCAAACATCTCATTCCAAAATCATGGGCATTAATATGGAGTTGGTCCCCCCTTTGCTGCTATAACAGCCTCCACTCTTATGGGAAGGCTTTCCACTAGAGGTTGGAACATTGCTGCGGGGACTTGCTTCCATTCAGCCACAAAAGCATTTGAGGTCGGGCACTGGTTGGGCAATTAGGCCTGGCTCGGAGTCTGAGTTCCAATTCATCCCAAAGGTGTTTGATAGGGTTGAAAAGGTGGCATCCTATGACAGTGCCACGTTGAAAGTCACTGAGCTCTTTAGTAATGCCATTCTACTGCCAATGTTTGTCTATGGAGATTGCATGGCTGTGTGCGCGATTTTATACATCTGTCAGCAAGGGGTGTGGCTGAAATAGCCGAATACACTAATTTGAAGGGGTGTCCACATACGCGATATATACAAAAGTATCTTATCGGCACCTAAGTATCTTTATAATATCGTATCATGAGGTCCCTGGAAATTCCCAGCCCTAACACCTTACCTATGAAGGACTGGAACCACTATCCTTGATCCAGATTACCCTTGTAAACACGAACCTCAGCGGCAGAGCTACAAGCTGCTATTTAGCCTTCATCTGAATCTTTTAGACTAACCTTTACTTGGCGTTGGAATTGAGAAAATGTTCATTTATTAAATTAAATAAATGTTAGCTCCATGAAGTAATCCAAACACGTATACTCCGTAGGGCTGACCCCAATTAGTCGACTTGTCAATTGTATTCAGACCCTTTAAAGTACTTTGTTGAAGCACCTTTGGCAGCGATTACAGCATTGAGTCTTCTTGGGTATGACGCCACAAGCTTGGCACACCTGTATTTTGGGATTCTCTCTCATTCTTCTCTGCAGATCCTCTCAAGCTCTGTCAGGTTGGATGGGGAGCGTTACTGCACAGCTATTTTCAGGTCTCTCCAGAGATGTTCGATCGGGTTCAAGTCCGGGCTCTGGTTGGGCCACTCAAGGACATTCAGAGACTTGTCCCGAAGGCACTCCTGTGTTGTCTTGGCTGTGTGCTTAGGGTCGTTGTCCTGTTGGAAGGTGAACCTTCACCTCAGTCTGAGGTCCTGAGCGCTCTGGAGCAGGTTTTCATCAAGGATCTCTCTGTACTTTGCTCCGTTCATCTTTCCTTCGATCCTGACTAGTCTCCCAGTCCCTGCTGGTGAAAAACATCCCCACAGCATGATGCTGCCACCACCATGCTTCACCGTAGGGACGGTGCCAAGTTTCCTCCAGACGTGACGCTTGGCATTCAGGCCAAAGAGTTCAATCTTGGTTTCATCAGACCAGAGAATCTTGTTTCTCATGGTCTGAGAGTCCTTTAAGTGCCCTTTGGAAAACTCCAAGCGGGCTGTCATGTGCCTTTTACTGAGGAGTGGCTTCCGTCTGGCCACTCTACCATAAAGGCCTGATTGGTGGAGTGCTGCAGAGATGGTTGTCCTTCTGGAAGGTTATCCCATCTCCACAGAGGAACTGTAGAGCTCTGTCAGAGAGTGACCATCGGGTTCTTGGTCACCTCCCTGACCAAGGCCCGTCTCCCCCGATTGCTCAATTTGGCAGGGCGGCCAGCTCTAGGAAGATACTTGGTGGTTCCAAACTTCTTCCATTTAAGAATGATGGAGGGCACTGTGTCTTGGGGACCTTCGATGCTGCAGAATGTTTTTGGTACCCTTCCCCAGATCTGTGCCTCGACACAGTCTCTGAGCTCTAAGGACAATTCCTTTGACCTCATGGCTTGGTTTTTACTCTGACATGCTGTCAACTGTGGGACCTAATATAGACAGGTGTGTGCCTTTCCAAATCATATCCAATCAATTGAATTTACCACAGGTGGACTCAAATCAAGTTGTAGAAACCTCAAGGATGATCAATGGAAACAGGATGCACCTGAGCTCAATTTCGAGTCTCATAGCAAAGGGTCTGAATATTTATGTAAATAAGGTATCTGTTTTTATTTTTAATAACATTTCTAAAAACCTTGTTTTCAATTTGTCATTATGGGGTATTGTGTGTAGATTGCTGAGGATTTGTATTTATTTAATCCATTTTAGAATAAGGCTGTACCACAACAAAATGTGGAAAAAGTCAAGGGGTCTGAATACTTTCCGAAGGCACTGTATTTGTGCCCATCTCAGTGAACTAATCCATTGCGGAGCCAATTTATGCTTGATCTGCCTTTGTGGTCGGAGGCGCCATATGGAGGGTGTGACGCAAGGCATGCAGATGCAAAATTGAGTTTTGTACCGCATCGCCATGCGCCTCCCAAATTTTGTAACAATGAGAGGGCTCCACATTGACATGACTGGTTGACGGAAGGTGGGGGCGGTACATCCTGTATAAACACAAACTCACTTCCTTGACAACAGCTCTGCACTGCTCCGTGAAGCGCAAGTAGTATGAATGCGCAAGAGTATGAAGGCATTCAACATGAGTAAGGTTGCCGACTCTTCGTGTAGCCTATTACCGGCAACTTCAGGACAGTAATGGCAGAATATGCGAAAGCCAACAGGAGCGGGAGGAGAAGTTGGGGGCAGGTTAAGGTATTTTTCATCTGGTTATCTAGATCTCTGGCGCCCTCGTGAGGCATCAAACCGTAAGCATCAGACCAGCTCAATGCTTATAGTGATTTTTTTTAAAACACATACCAAATGTCTATATGGAAATATACACGTTAAAAAATGTCGACCAATCGTTTAATCTAAAGAACAGACGACTTTCGGTCGACCAATATTTTTTTAGTCGGGGACAGCCCTAATACTCCGCCATGTTTGAGTATCTTTGTTTTCTCTCATTGATCGGGTCAGGTGGGTGTCCACCCCAAAGTGCTGCACATCATATGTGCCACTCAGAAATCAAGCTTAGCTTTGAATGACACTCACCTGTCTTGATCAATGAGATAAGACAAAGATACTCTAAGATTGCGGCGTATACATCGTCAAATTATTTGATGGAGCAAAAATTGATTAAACTTAATAACGGAGCATTTTCAAAATTCAAACGTTCCACCTGCAACTAGCGATGGGAGTTTAGAAGATACCGGTGTTTTTCAAGTCGAGAATGACGAAAGTATCGCCATGTAAAGGATTATTTAAAATGTGTTGCTTATGCTAAATAGATCACCGTTATCAACGGCTATCACTGCTGAGCCGTTTGATTACATCAGCTAGCTCCAGATCTGATGGTCTGTCCTGCTTTGTTGACAAATGGCAAGAGGTGATACAAACCTGAATTTAACTTGAATATAATATATAATAATAATAATAACTTGAAGACTCATCTCCTCCATTTCAAATACATGTACAGTACATTTGTTCAGGTATCCAATTAAACCTGCTAAGTGCCGAAAAGTTTGAACTTACTGAACACCTAACTAACTACCTGTTACACAACTCATGCCATATTTGCATGATGATCATTCATGACAAAGTAGCTAGCAAAATGACAATATAATCACAAATGCTTCAATTTAATACACTCAAGAGGGTAGCTAACCAAATAACAATTGTGTCCCTATTCATTTTGCGATGTGTAATTGTATCCACAACAGCCTGCTAGCTTAATTTACCTTGCATCATATTGTTTACATTTGTAGCTACTAGTATTGTTGTGACTTAACATTACTGCTCCAAATCCTAGAGAAACCCTTGACGCAGTTAACGTTAATTAATATCTTTACCAGACAATTTAAACCTGAATATTGTGTCAACAGTATCACGTATAGCTTAACACTTCAAGTTTCTTTCAAACACAAAAATTCAGCCAGTTCAACTTCAAGCTAACTATAGCTAGCTAACGTTAGCTAAATAGCTAAGGACGTTTGCCAGCCAACTGTTGTGAACCATAGGGGTTCATCGAGTTCCCTTCCCCCACAACCACATAGCTAACACTACTAGCCTGCAATTTATTGACTTTACATATAAACACGGTTAGCAATACAACATGCTTATCGATAACACGTCAACTGCACAGTGTCTCTGTTTTGGGATGTCGAGCGACACACTAAAACAGGCTAGCTAGCAGGCTTAATGATCTCCTGCAGCCGGCGGTAGGCATATTAACACAGGCGCAACACAAAGGGAACTCCGGCAACTTGGATGTGGCAGTCAGTTAGGAAGCTAACGTTCATGCAATGGCGTCAGTGCTTATGGCAAACATACAAAGCCACATTTATTCGTGAAATCAATTATGTTGGTGTCAAACATTGTAGACAGGTTTATGACAACAACAAAAACACGGAGAACCGGCTTGAGGCCAAAGCTAACTAGTTAGCATAACATTAGCTATATTATAGCTAACGTTACATTAGCCGGGCAGAGAATAAAATAACCCGGCTTACATGTTCTTCAGAGTTGGAGGGATTTCTCGCGGAAGACCGGGTCCTGGACGAGATGAAGGGACTGCTCTGCTCATGCCGAGAGTTCTTTCTTGTGTTCACCATGATTTGTCCGTTTATTTGCACTTGTTTAATCTGTCTATATGTCTGTACACTGCCTCAGTAAGCACGGCATTGAGGCGCCATTTCTCTTTCTCTTTAGTTCGCTCTCCTGTCACTCACTACGCAAAATTCACTCGCGGACCATTTCCGCTTTGCAATACTAGCAGTTGTCAGTGTGGCAAGGCATCAGAAATACAAAAATTACACAATACACACATAATTGCAACACAGCAAAAAAACTACATTTAGCAATTTTAATAGAAGACATCAAATGTTCAATTGAACGAATTTAATGTAGCTATATAGCTATCACACGAAACAATGTTTTTAAGTTTGCGGCTTGCTAACGTTAGTGCTGTTTGTACTGTCACGGTATTTCAGTTTTCCAAAAACGTAAAACCAATTACTGGTGTACTAGCTAGCTAACGTTATAACTTACGTTTTCTTTGTATATTTTCAGCGGCTCTTCAATGGTCTCGTTTAATATTAATAAAGGATAATACGGAGTTAAATTCGACTAATGTGACATTTGACTTAATAAGATGATAGCTAAACGTGCACAGGCTGCAATTTGCAGTCCAGGCACGTGAGCGTGTGCAGCTGTTGTTTTGGTTTGTATTGCAGCCAGAGCACAACACAGGATGGAAATTATGAACATGTAATAGCCTGTACTGTACTGAATTTTATAAAAGAAAAAGCTAATTCTATACCAAACTTATTGCTTAGCCTATAACTAGCTACATGTTTATTTTTGGACTGCAGTCCAATCGGCTGCCGTGAAAAATCATAGGCTGTTCTACCATTTGTCCCTCTATACTTTAATGTAGCTTATTCCTACAATTCTGAAAGTGTCAATCCCTGATTCACTATGCATATATGAAAATAGTATATATAATTATATATACTACTTCACCTCTTCCTCTCTGATATAGCCTAGGGGCCACAAAACATAATCTTTAGCATTACCATGCATTGTGTGAGAGAGAGAGAAGCCAACAGAACAGCCAACTTCAGACCCCGACCACACAGCTTTGACACCACAGCAGGACAGACAAGACAGAACCTGGACCAACCCAGCAGACTCTCCCTCCTGGCACCCCTCCCTGTCAGCCCCCCAGACAGCTCTCCTGACAACACCCCCACTCCCACCGAGGACACACAAAAGTCAGAGATTGTGCTCCTCATTGACTCAAATGGGAACTACATTGATGAGGATAAAATGTTTCCAAACCACAGTGGCTGAACTCTGGTGTCCAAACACCTGAGGTGCCCTGGAGCTGCTGTCAGAGGACCGACTAGGGTCCCCCAGCCCCATCATAATTCACACAGACACAAATTAGCTGAAGGTGCAGCAGGAAAGGGTGGCCACAGCACTCCAGGGAGTGATTGAAAAAGCTTCTTCCTCATTCCCTAACTCACTAGTGGGTCTTCTCCACCCTGCTACCATGAAAAGACGTTCACCCTGCCACCATACAGGGGTGAATGCAAGCATTTCCCAGGATTGTGCTTCAAAACCTAACATCTACAAGGCCCACCACTCCATCATGGACTTGAACAGCCTTTACGACCAGGTCCACCTCTACAAGGCAGCAGTCCCCATCTTTGCCAGGACCCTGAAGGACATCACCCTCAACCGCAGCCCCAGCACCTCACACAGGAGCAACAGAGCAATGGACACCCGCCCAGACCAGCGAGACACCCTCCCAGAACTGTGAGACACCCTCCCGGAAGACCTGCACCAATAGGATCCACACTAGGGTTGAATTGCGGGAACCTGGTTACCGGGATTTACCGCCGAAAACCACTCCCTTTTCCAGGGATAAATAACTGCGAGAAACCGTTAAATTATAATACATTATTCATATGAAAAACATGTCATGAAATGGAACTGTTAAATTATATGCAATGTCTAAATCTGGCTTCTCTACGGCCTCTGCATGATAAATCATCAACGCTCAGGGTGGGGACAGACTGCCCATCTCAACATGGAGCGCAGTTCACAATGCATGTTGACCTACTGTATCATCTCATCATGGTAACTTTTTTTGACAGGTAGGCCTGCATTTGCTGCAGCAAAGTCTACGCTACAGTAATATAAAAATAGAATGCTCGTCTTTTTTTATTACCGCTGCAGAGTTTTAAAACAGCCTATCACTCGAATATCGTTGCTTTAAATCAGTGCACGCGTGAGCACTCTCTCGCAGTCTTTCTCTCTCTCCATCAACTCCATTCAAATTGCATCCAAAATAGATCATCCTGTTCTAAATTGATATATAGCCCTATATATAGATGTCCTAGCCTACCTCTTTCAGGTAATACATTCAATGCAGTATTAGCCTTATATTTAGCTAAATATGGGGTTATGCATAATAAGCTTATAATTTGTGTCTTGCGCAATATGCACGCACCTGTGCTCCGCTGGCCTCTCCTTAAAAAACTCTCATTAGCTCTTGGAAAAGCTATACTAGAATAGCTTGCTGGACTTTTTTTTTTTTTTTATAAAAAAAAATTCTCATACGAATAGGCTATTCGAAGAGGGACGCAAGCTCTTGCTTCCTGAATGTTAAATACATCAGCTAATATAACTCACCGGTATTTTGAAAGAAGAGCCAACGCGCGATGGCGGTAGGCTATAGCAGTTATTTATTTCAGACACATAACGATTCAATCTTCGTCAAGAGAAGTGAAAGCCTTCTGCATCTAATTCTAGTCCTATATTATTCAAGGATGTCATTAGAATTATGAAGATAAGGACAACGAAACTTATTTCATTTAACTGCTGAAAGCGAGGAAGGAATGAAGCACCAATAGAGAGAGAAAGAGGAGGTAGGCTAATAACATTAGGGGAAATATTATGGGAAAAGGTATATTCGTCAGCCTACTAATTATACAAATAGGCCCTATTATATTCCAAAATTAAAATCAAATTCGCTAGCCTATACTTGTAACTGTGTAGGCTGCATTTGCTGCACCAGAATCCCATGTGCTCTCCCTGCTTTATCATGGTTTGAAAAATATGCATAATTCCAGTCCATATAATACAGTATAATACAATACAGTACAGTAATACAGTTCACACTCAAAAAGATTAGCCTACTTGAGCTAGTTTCATTTATTTACCCAAGAGAGCATATAGCTAGCTACACCTATGGGCATTGATGTTTTTCTGTCCTGTATAATGTGCAGTAGCCTATATCATATACACTGAACAAAAATATGAACACAACATGCAACAATTTCAAAGATTTTACTGAGTTACAGTTCATATAAGGAAATCAGTCAATTGAAATAAATTAGGCCCTAATCTATGGATTTCATATGACTGGGAATACAGATATGCATCTGTTGGTCACAGATACCTTTTTTTTAAAAGTAGGGGTGTGAATCAGAAAACCAGTCAGTATCTGGTGTGACCATCATTTGCCTCATGCAGCGCAACACATTTCCTTCGCATAGAGTTAATCAGGCTGTTGATAGGGGCCTGTGGAAATGTTGTCCCAATCCTCTTCAATGGCTGTGCGAAGCTGCTGGATATTGGCGGGAACTGGAACACGCAGTCGTAGTCATCGATCCAGAGCATCCCAAACATGCTGATGAAAGGCATGACAATGGGCCTCAGGAACTCATCACAGTATCTCTGTGCATTCAAATTGCCATCGATAAAATGCAATTATGTTCGTTGTCCGTAGTTTATGCCTGCCCATACCATAACCCCACCGCCACCATGGGGCACTCTGTTCACAATGTTGACATCATCATCATCAAACTGCTCGCCCACACAACGCCATACACGCTGTGTACATACTGTCTGCCATCTGCCCGGTAGAGTTGAAACATGGAATAATCTGTGA